AGCCCTCCCCATAAATTTATCAATCCCCCCCCCCCCCCTTCCTTGCAAAATCTTGGTTACGCCTATGTATATATATATATTAAAATTTAGCTAGTTTTTAAAAAAATTGTTAATTTTTTTTCACCTTTTTTGTCGATAATTAACGTCTCCACCTTCATTTAGGTCCTCTTCAGATTCTCCATAATCTGAGTCGAATACATAAAGGGGGCTATCATCCTCATTAGATAAAGCGTATCGAACATAGTTATTAAGTGATATTTTTACAGATTTGCCATGAATATCATCTCCTACCCTAAACTTATTCATACCCAATTTTTTAGATAATCTATCCCAATTCCATTTATCACTGGCATCCCAATCCTTTTGCAATCCTGTTATGACACATGGAATATTTGGTTTGTCGTAAAGTAGAGAAAAGTCGTCGGCACTTAAGTGTTCTCCGTCTATCCTTGGCGTATTATCTTGTAAATATTTTAATCAAATATTTGTATTATTTAATAGTATGCAAAAAATATTAAAGGAATGATTATTTAAATCTATTGTTTCAATAAAGGCTCACCATATAATACTTTCCTTTCTTTTTCGGGCACCAACAAATAATCCTGTAAAAACTTATTAAACCTCGAGGCGCAATTTATTCTTTTCCAATCAGTGGTCTTCCAATCGGGCCTAATTTTTTTCTTGACACGTTTTACTTCATCGATATATGATTTATTTGATTTTCCTTCCAGTTTTCCGAATATATAATATGATAAATTTTGATTTTATATCAAATCTATTAATGTTATTCATGTATCTTACTATTATAGAACCAGGATTAGAGTTTAGTAAAAATATTTGAAAGGAACTAAAACATTAAAATAATATTTCTTTAAAAAAAAAGTAAATGAATTATAATTATGACGCCGTGATGCGACAAACAACCGGGAAAAAATGAGTTCATTAATTAATTTTATATTATCAGATATTTTTACAAAATAAATATGCTGCTTATTTTATTTTTGGTTGGATAGGATCGAATATTTTATTATTAACTTTATGAAAACTATTTTATCGTACCACATCTATAAATATATTAGAAATGTTCAAAAGCTACAATGATATTTTTTAATTTTATTGACTAACTAATTATTAGTAGATAGGGTAAACTAAGAACTTTCGAATATAATACAAATTAAACTATAAAACAAATATTTTATTCTAGGAACCTTTTTATACAAACCCTTCCCCTCTCCCTCTTTTGAATACACCATTTATATCTGAAAATTTAATTTTAGTAAAGTTTTTTATGAAGATAAAGGATATATTATACCAAGGATTCATCAATCTAATTTTTTTGACAATGTCGATATTGTCGGGTATTGCGTCAATGTCAGCAGTACCTGGTACAAATTAGGTACCTTTATAAAAAAAAATTTAAGAAAATAAATTCATAATAATTTAATTAATTTTATTTTAATTTAACAGTTATTACTTTTTTGTAAAAAATATTATAAAATGATAAAATTTTTAAACAAATACTTGTTACAATTGATTCAATTTTTTCATAAATTTTAAAATATGTTTAGAAAATGAAATTAAGAATTCTCTTTATCTCTCTTGGGGTGATTAGTTGATTTTTTTCAGAAAATAACAGGACAGAAAAACAAAATAAAAAATTTATGAAATTTTTTATTTTATTAGAGAAGGAAAAAAAAGTAAATAGGTTGAAATAGAAAAAGCATGAAACGATCATTTTTTTAAAAATTATTTAAAATAAAAATCCCCAAACTCATCCTATAATATTAAATAAAGTGGATTACTTATAGGCCCCACAGTTTATAACCGTTTTTCTAAGGAGGTTACCAAATTTAGAGCAAGGATGAAAATAAAATATTTGCAATGAGGGAACTTATATCTCTGAAAATTAAAATTTTTCAAGCGACCCGAAATGTGAATTAATTTTTAAGCCATGCCTTTTGCCAGGCCCAGAATAATTTACTTTTAGACTTGGGCACAATCCAATACAGATTTTTATTTTCCGCAATAGCCTGACGCAGAATTTTTAATTAAAAAAAATATTAATGACACGCATGTTTATGAAGTTATTTGAAGTAAATCATATATCACTTTGTTCTATCATCACATGGAAGTTATAATTATCCTCTTATTTTTATTATATATTTTGACCTTTTATCTGATTAATATTAACTTTTGAGTCTGAAAAAAATGAAATCAATATAAAATTAGTAGACATAATGAAATATAAATAACCAGAATTTTAATAAGAAAGAAGTAGCGCTAAGGTTTTCATATGAAATTTGATTCGGTTATTTCTAAACCTTTAACCTTGTTATATTTTTACGAAAATAATTTTGGTTTGTCATTTTTTTTTAAATATAAAATTGCTTTTTTTTCGAAAATTTTTAATTTAATTTTTTTTAAACTTATTTTATTTTTTTCACATTATTGTTATTGCTATATTGTATATATTTTTTAGATTAGATAAATACAGGGGAAGGGTTTAGGGGAAAATTTTAAGGCAAATTTTTGAAAGGAGAAGGGCTAACTCCCCGGATCCTGCTCGTAACTATGCCTTATGGATAATTGGGGGAAAAAAATATGGGCTAAAGATTTTTATTTTATTCCTTAAGAAAATCTTTCATATATTATATTTATTATTGCAAACATGTAATAATTAGAGATACTGGTTACATTTAAAATTGTCAAATATGAATCCCGGAAAAATTATCCCTGGAAAGAAAACTCCGGGAAAAAACCCCCAAAACCACCCCCCCCCCCCACAAAAAAAGGGGGAAAAATCCCCTCAAAAAACTCTCAGATTTTTTTTTAATGTTTATAAAATTTACTTAAAACCTAATAATAAAGGCATATTTTTATTTGCATTATAATGGATCACTCATAATTAGTGTTTTAGAAAAAAATCTTATAAAAATATAATTAATAAATTTTTTTAACCCCTAATTTATTATTTAACGATTACTCATATACCTAATATAAAAAATGCTTAAATGCTGATATTCAAAGTGGTACTGGGAAAAAAATACCACAGTAAAATAACTCATGCATTTCTTATTTTAGCAAGAATTATTTGCCATAGGAATAAATATAATGTCATCAAAAATTATGATATAATAAAGTTACAAAATCTTGTTATAAAAGATATATTCATTTTATTGATAAATCATCATTATGTATATATAAATTTTATTTAGAATAATAGTCAGAGACTTGCAGGCCCGGCCTGGTAATTTTAAAAAAAAATTACCAGGTAGGAATTTAAACCAAATATTTGAAATCACCATTTTTAGCTATAAAAATTATAAATAAATATCATTTATTTTGAAAAAATTCGGGCCGGGTCGTGCAAATGGTACCTATGTAGGTGTCTGATAATAATGAAATGGGTTTATATCGTATATAGAAAGAAATCACTTTTATAAAATTCAAAGCTTCGCATCCCATAACGGTATTCCTCGCAAAGTTACTTTAACCGAATCTGGGTATTATAACTCTGCAATTTTGTTTTCGGTGTCCAACTACCTACATGCTATCTTTCAAGTTTGGTTTCATCGGTAGTCCCCTCGCATTTTATTTTTTTGATCAATACCCAGATTGGGTGTTTATTTACAACTATAAAATAATAAGGATTCCATCCTTAGCATTGATTATTTGCGTGTTCTTCGCCAGATAGAGTGCTCTAATACACATTTCAAGTTTCCGGAGGAAATCTATATTTACTTCGACGTGTCTGGAACTGAGAATAGCTTATTGTGCCTCACTTAATACTCCATTGAATAATTTTTATAGTAATATTCAAGATTACACTTACTATTGCTCGGAGTATGTCATTGCATTACCCATATTACATAAGGGACAAATGCAAAGCCGTTTATCATGCCACAAAAACATCACTAGATGTTGGTCTATTTGGTGATACATGTTTTAAATCAGTTGTAAAATATTTTCACTTAACTTAAAAATCAAACCTATCCATTTTGTTTTTGCAAGCTAAGGCTCATTTTCCTCATTCTGTCAATTAATTTCACACCAAATTAACTACGTTTATATTTCTCCTTCCTTATTACAATATGAAGTGCGTTGGTGCAATTAGGTGTTTCAGTAGACATGAATAAATTGTTTTTTTTTAAACTGATAGGTTTAAATAACAATCATTTCTCCCATTACATTCATAAATATTTTTGGGAGGCAGTTTGAAATTTGGGGAAAAGCCTAAAATCTGGCCCACACTCTACCACAATCCCCCCTCATTATTATGATAAAGTATCCCAAATAATTCCGAACTCGATTTTTGATTTGAAGAAGATCTTATAAAAGTCGTCAAATTTGATTAAAAAATACTATTTTATTTGAAATTTTTAAGGAAGGTTTTAATTAAGAGTTTTTTTCATGTGGTATACCGTCTATCCCAAATAATTCCGAACTCGATTTTTGATTTAAAGAAGATCTCATAAAAGATGTCAAATTTGATTAAAAAAAATACTATTTTTATTCGAAATTTTTAACGAAGGGTTTTAATTATGTAGGTTTTTTTCATGTGCTTTTTTCCCCTAATACCGTCAAATATACTTCTCTGATTGCCGACTAAGATCCTTGTTCAAATTCAGTGAGCATTAATGTCCACAGGACTCATCACCCTTATATTTTTAATTTTTTTAAAAAAATTGTTCCCCTAATCTTCTTTTTTAAATTTATGGTTTATTCTACATAAGTAATTATTTAATTTAATCGAAATCTTAAATAGAAATATTATAAAAAAAATATGTTAAATGAACAATAAAATTAATATATCGATATCTTTACCTCTAAACTTATTGATGTATTAAAGATTTTGCATAATATTATTTTGTTTATTACATAATTTTTATATTCAAATTTAATAAAATATTAATTATCAAATAATTTATCATATTGTTCGCTAATCATACCATCAATGTCAAATATATTGAAATATTATGCTATGCTAATTTAATGCAAAGATAATATATATTTTCACTTATTGTTATCTCAAATTACATATTTTATGATAATGGAGAAAAAAATCTCTTAAATTTAGTGCTAATTTTAATTGCATTTATTCTTTAAAAGGTACGCTATTTAATTAATGTATAATTTTTAATGCTAATAAAAAAATATATATTAGATTTAAATTTTTATAATGAGCCATATATATTTAAAGAGTTTAAGAGAAATTAAATGATATTAAGGTGTAAAAATTATTGAAGATCATTATAATTTCTTATTTAAATTACAATAAATCTCCCAAATAAGTGTACCCCCACCCTCCTGAACAAAAGTCTCAGTGCATATATATATATATTAACATGAACACATAAATAAATAAGGTTTTTTTTACCCAATTAATGACAATATATAAATAAATCTATACTAATTTAAATATATTTTTAAAATTGCTATTATTCATTACAAACCTTGTAACACAGATGTAACTTAAAAATTTAAGTATTGAACTATACCCTACCTAATTGAAGTATTATAGTGAGTATAGTTGTGAATGAGAAGTAGAAAAACAAGGCAGGAACCTATTCCTTCCAAATACAAATACTACTTCATTTTTAACCCATTAAATTTTTTCATTATAGTATTATTATTTTTATAATCAGAATAATATGTATAAATGGTTCATTAGTTTCCCTAATCTACTTTGGACCAATAATCAATATATAACACTGTATTATGGAGTATTTTCTAAAAATATATTTATTTCCCCTTAAAACTACTTAATTCAGGGCTATAAAATTAACTGGTTAAAAAGATCTTATACTTATACAATGAATAGTGAGTGGTATATTTAATATTTCAAAATTAATCAAACTATGAAAATAGCAGCCGAATAGAAGCATTCGAGATCTTATAAATTAAACAAATAATTACCTTTCACCTCAGCAGGAGCTTGTCAGATAGTCATAAATTAGGCTCAGAATAATTTTAAATCTGCAGCAGCCCATATAATGTATTCCCAAGATAGGATATCTCAGCTATTAATTTAGACAAACCAACTATTTTTATATATTAGAAACGGTTTGAGGGATGTTTTAGAAAAGCTTTTGATTCCATTATTCATTCAAATTTGTGGAAGCCTCTGGAGGAGGTAACTCATCTGTTTAAAATTATAAATAGTATTTATAACTACTCAGTTCAATTTATTCATGCTGGTCAGAAATCTCCTAAAATCCCTGTTAAATTTGGGCTGAAACAGGGGTGTGTTTTATCCCCACTACTATATAATTTCATTTACAAATCATATTATAATGTGTTCGGAATGGTTGGTTATTGGCGATATAAATATTTCAGCATTTGCACATGACCTCTGTCTGACTGGTTAATCAATGCTAGATCTTATCTAGTGGAAAATATATTTATGGAAGCCAGTTTTTTTGGCTTTAAATGCTGATAAAACCAAGGTGTTGACCTCATTCTCCACACCCCACTTAAGGCTAAGGATACATGAGAAGAATATTGTGGAAGTTGAGAACCTAAAATATCTGGGAATTATTTTAGACAGGAAAGGAAGCACTAAGCAGGAAATGGTTAAATTAAACAGGGTCAGGTTAAATATTGGTCTTTTATGAAGATATAGTTGTCAAATCAACTATCCCACTAAAGATTCAACTCATCTTAATACTCTCCTCGTTACATTACAGCATTGGGATGTGGAATGATACTAAGTCAGAAAACAAAAAGTCAATCCTTTATAAACAAATGCCTAAGTTATATCACTAAAACGTTCTTCCCTTTTAATACAACCAACAGTATCCTATGGGCTAGATGCAATATCCTTTCATTATATAGAATGATAGAATTTAGGAGAATAGAGTTAGAAGTTCATATCCTTAGACAACTTATCTATCAAGCCCTCTCTAAAGTATGCCCAGAGGAGTCAAATCGTTTCCAACATATAAAAATAGTTGTTTTGGCAGGATATCTAAATCAATAGCAGAGATAGGCCTCTCTTAGGAATTCATTAAGCGGGTTGCTGCAGATATATGCACTTTTAAAACTATCCTGAGCCTAATTTATCACCATACGAACTGCTACTGTGATGAAAGGAAATTATTTGTTTATTTTATCATAAGACTTCAAATGCTTCTATTCGGCTGCTATTTTCATAGTTTATGATATTAATTTTGAAATATAAAACATCGCTATTCATTGTAAGTATTATAGACAGTCAATTTTTTAGCCCTGAAAGTACTTTTAATGAGAAATAAATATATTATTTGAACGTACTCCATAATTTGGTTTTATATATTGATTATTGGTCCAAAGTAGATTAGAGAAACTAATGAACCATTTATACGTTTTCTGATTATAATAATGATAATAATACTATAATGTAAATAATTTAATGGGTTAAAAATAAATAACTAATTGTATTTGGAAGGAATGGCTTCCTGACTTGTTTTTCTCATTCACAACTATATTCACTATAATACTTTAATTTGTTAGGGTGTACTATGCATTTGTTACAAGGTTTGTTGGTATCCTTGAGAAAAAAATCAGCACAATTATATAGAAGTTGACCTAAATAATTCGTCTTCGCTCACTTTGGGCAGGTCTGTGACCACGTGCTAGATAAGATAAGTTATTGCCTTTTTTTAAAAAATCTTGATTGACCCAATTTTTAATAACATTTTTATCTTTTGATTATTTATAAATTAAAATTGACAACTTTTTTAAAATTAAATTCTATCACAAATAATAAATGTATAATTGTTAAAGAGGTAAATTCAAATATTCCATTTTTTGGGTATCCTAAAATTAGAAAGAGATTTAAAAAAATATAAAATAAGGTATTTCTGCATTAAATTTTATTTGAAGTTATCTTTAAAGAAGCATGGGATAGACAGAAATAATCAAATTTAGTTAAGAATTGGCAGAAATTGACTATAAAAATTTAATTATAACCAAATTATGTTATGTTAGATAGGCTTCTGAACTTTCAAATTTAGTTAACCAAAAAAGATTTTACTCTAAATATATCTTTTTGAGCCAGTTTAAAGCGAATTCTAAATTATTATTAAGAGCTTTGGTTTTGTAAGATTTTATTATGATGATTTGGAAGATAATTGGTTCATTTTTATGATTTCATAGTTCAACACTTGCTTGTGATTTTTTTTTATAAAGAATTAATAATCACCAAAATATTGAAATCATAAGCAAGACAAGGTCTCAACATTTTTTGAATAACAAATTTAAAACACAAGTTTTTTTTGCCAAATTTTAGAAAAAATTTGACTCAATTCAAAACAAAATAATGGATGTCCTTTTGTCATGATAATATAATATCTTTTTCTATTTTTAAACTATAAGAAATGTTGTTATTAATTGTGTGAGAGATGGGCCCAATTTCATTGGCATAACCTATGGGATGGAAACATATCCCTTCTTAGAAAATATGTCCATTTTCGTAAACATGATTTTTAACTAATAAATATTACCCCCCCCCCATTCACACTACCCCAACTCTTTTCTCCTTTAATGCTGAGCAATATCTTAATAAATAAAAATTAATATAACTCTGTGACTCACAGGTACTACCTTTTTTTTGTTTAATACTGATACCAAAAATAATAATATCGTAATTACCATTTTTTTTAATTAATCTACATATTTTTCATTCTATTTTTATGTATCGGCCATTTATATCAGGCTGAATTAAAGTATCGGCCTGATACTGATTTCGCTGCATTGCTGGTATAAGTTATAAAAAGAATTTAATTAAAATAATCTGATATTTACTAAAATATTTATTTAGTCAATTCAATATAACTTTGATATTGACACATTTTAAAGAAAAAATAGATATTTAATTTTCTATAATATTCTTATTAATAAACTTTATTTATCTAAATAATTGTGATTTAATCAGAAAAATTGATTTTTAAAACAAATAATGAATGATTAAATAAAAAATCTCGAACTCTAGTACACTCTGTATAGCCTTAGCTTAATAATATAAACAACAATAACTAATTTTTTTATTACACAATATATAAGAAAAAGTAAAAACTGTGCACTTGTAATTATTTTAAGATTATTTAATATGTGTAATGTATAGTGTAAGGCTTATATGAAAATTATTCGTATTTCAATCGAGAATAAATTAAATAATTTCGAAGTGATAAATCTCTTTATATTTTATTAATTAAAATCTTATGCCTCCCTTATTATTTGTTTATGTCCCTGATTTATATATTTATATCGGTACCGTATCGACATTTTTTCTTCCTTCTATTATTATATAAATAATACTTTATATATTTTTAACGTAAAGATAAAGGGAAATAATTGTATTTATGAATAGGGCTATGCCGATATTAAATATCAAATCAGATCTGCACCGATATTTAGCGTTTTCTAAAATACTGATCATCCGAAATCCAGATCCGATCCGATTTTTTACTTTTCTTTTTTTTGTTATTTTATGTATATTTATTACATTAACAATATTTTCTAAATAATTTTTTTAAACAATGCAAATAACACCCTTTAAATTATATTTATTGATTTATAGTATTTTAAAAGTTTTTTATAAAAATAGATACGATAAAGGAACACCCAAAGTTTTATTTATTTTAAATCTTTTTAAATAAAAAGGCCAATTTTATTATATTACTTTAAATAAAAAATTTTTTTAAATATGGTATCTGAATTATAGAAATATTTTACAAAGGACAAAGATAATTTTGGGAAAAGCATTATCTACGGAATTCTATTTTCACGGCGAGGAATAATGAAAAATGTATTTAATATTACCAATATCCGTAAATTTTTTTTAATTAGAAATAAAAAAATTATTAAATACATAATTTGATTTTTTTCATAAAAAATATTGATTTCTTAATTACATTTGGTTCAAAGGAGGGTGGTGAAAAATCAATATAAATATCGGATCGGTTTTGAACCAATACCGGATCGTATCGGTGAAAAATATTTGGATCGGCAAAGCCCTATTCTTGAGATTAACAAGTAAGGAAACAAATATAATAAAAGAATGCTTTTGATAAAATGAAATGGAAGAAAGAAGAGAATTAATAAGAAGTGGAACAACAAACCTGCCCTACTAATATTGTTGTGACTTATTAAGATTTTTTGCAACGCGCTAATAACAGACTTCCACGATCTCTGCCAAAAATTTTAAATTATCCAAAAAAAAATAAAATTGCGCTATCTTCGACATTTCCTTTAGTAGGTGTCCAGACATTTCTGCCATTTATGAGAAAAATCTCCCAGATTTGGGTAATATTTTTTGGCTAAAATATTAGGTTTTCCGTTTTTAAAAATTGGCCATCACTAAGTATATAAAATGAATAATTTAAAGTAAATTAAAGTGTAATATGGAATGAATATGTAGAATTTTTTAAGAATACGAATTTGTTTATTATATTATGTCCTGTGATTTCAAGTATTTTTTCCGCTTCTTATGAACGTTATTGTCTTAAATTTCGATTGTTACGATGCCAAATTCCATCATAGACGCGCGAAATGATTTAAATCCCCTCAAATAGGCTTTGAGTTATAATATAAATGCGTTTTTCTTTATTTCGTAATCATAATAACCTATTTTAATTTTTTTTAAAAATAAAGTATTTAATGAATATTTTAAATATTCCAAAATTTTTAAATAAAAAAAAATATTTAAATAATTTAGTTTGTACCGAAATTTTAAGTGCCTTATCAAGTCAATTCACTACGCATAAATTACGAATAAATTTGTAAATATTTTAATTAATCTGTTCCTTTTTTAGATTCACCAAGGTAAAGTTTTCCCTTCAGCTGTTTTTTCTTATATTGATTCCTGGAAATTTTCTTACGAGACGTAATGTTTTTGAATGCCTTTTATATTTTGACGCGTTGTTGTAACTCGTAAAAATTGTAATTTCAATAATTTCTGCGTTTTTTTTGTTACTTTATTTTGCCTGTAAATAACCTGAAGCTATTTATATATTCGAGTAGATTTAATAAATATAGTAAATATTAATTTTTTTTAAATTATTAAATCGTATAAAATTACATCATTTTTTAATTTATAATCGCAAAATATGTTAAAATTATCAAAAAGGATTATTAAAATCAGGGACCAGGAACAAAGGCATTTTTGCTTTCTGGCTCCAGTCAAAAAATTGTTCTTTTCCGATTCCGTTCCAACTTTCAGAATGTTCTTAGAAAAATATCTAATTATATTTTTAAAATCCTACACATTTTAATTAATCTTTATTTAATCAATACAGGTTTGAACTTGCTTATTCTTTAAAGAAATACTTTTTAAAAAAATAATCTTTCCAATAACTTATTATTCCACATCGTCCCCATTCATGGCAACATTTATTTAAAAAGAATATCACGACGAGTTTTATATATAATCATTTAATTCATTATATTAGCTTTACCATTCTTCAATTCAAATCGATTCAGAATATTTTTATGGTATTTATTATTCAATATAATCGAACGCGCACACCCAATACGCTTGTTATCTATGAAACATAATTTTTATATTAACTTGTGACCATGGACAAATTATTCTACACATGCATTCTTAAAACCCTCTTGGCTCTTAAGATAGAAATTATCCACAAAGATGTCTATTGTTAAAAAATAATACGACGTTGAATGTTGAGCCACATTCGTCATTCGCACTCCCTTATCACGGACTCCCAAATTTATGTAGCCAGCTTCCGAGTAAACAACGCGTTCTTCTTGAACAATGTCCCGCGAAAATATAATATTCCGCCATTCATTTATATTTTAAAAAAATAAAATTTGAAAAAGACAGTAGTGAATGGAGAACCTCCCCTCGCCAAAGCCTTGTTCCTCAACTGCGCCCTTCGCTAGATCCTTGCCTCCAGGACTCGGCCTTTTTACTTCTTCTGGGCTGCAAGAAGACAATTCCTTCTCACCATATCTTTTTCAAAAATTAAACACCGATACCGCGTACGATATACACGCTAACACAAACAACGCTTGCAAAAGATCCGTTAGCGCTAGAGATTCGTCTCGCTTTCCTATCGTTGATAAATTAACTAACATATGTAAAATTAACAACTCGACATTCGGCACCGGTAGATACGCCTTCAATTACAACCAAGTAGTTTGTCGGAAACGTCAGGATCTCAAAACTCTCCATTGCGAACTATGTCGACCTGTCACTAGTTCAGCTAGTTTTCATTCCGAAAAAATGGTACCAAAATGTAGTGCCCGATTTCCTGGAGGTCACTCCCGCCAAAATTCTTACGCATCCTCTTCTGGGTATTCTAGCGAATCATGCTCGTTTCACTCACTGGGCTTCCACAACTGCAGCGCTAACAACACGCTCGGCAAAACCTGTTTCAAAATTAGTGGTGCCAATAATAATAACGCGATTAAAAATTCCGAAGTTGGCCTTAATTTAAATGACGATAGCAATTGTTGTACACTACGACTCGGTGGTGGTAAATATAACTTAAATACGAGAATCGGAGAACAAACGGAATCGACTCATCCTGCGAGTTGCAAGAAGATCAATATTATCACAGAGTTTTTATCCACTAAGTATTTTAAATTTAAAAATATCGGTAATGTGTTATTTTTTCAACTTTATATAATTTTTTGAGTGCTTTTTTTAAATGTAAGAATCTGATTTTACCAGAAATGTATTCTACCATGTTTGATATACCTACTCTATGAATTTCAGACAATTTTGGCAAGTTTTGAACTTAATATGATTTATATTTGTTTTTCTTTAGATTTTTGATATAAATTATAATATAAATGGCTCTAAGATCAAAGGCAAAATTGCTTATAATTGATAAGAGAGGTATTCTTAACATTCTTGAATATATTTCCCGAAAAACCAGATTTGTAAAATTTAAAAAATGCGATCTCAAATACTGATTTAAAGTTAAAAAAATTCACTTCGCCGCTAATACAAACACACACACATATATATAGTAGCTCTTTAATCAAAACTCTTTTTTTAAAAAAACTCAAATATTACTCTTCTTTTTAATTCATGTAATTAGTATTTTAATGTGATTTAAGTGCTTTTATTTTAAATTGCTTAACTTAATAATTACCCGAACTTAGCTAAGATTGAAAATTACCATAAAATATAAAAACTGACTCATCCATCCTCTTATTAAAGACCCCTCCCATTAAGAATCTCAATTTATTTTTGATGGTCAGTCTAAAATAGATTGACGAGTGGGGACAGGATTACCAGATGCCACGATTTGTCCGATATTCTCACAATCATTTTTTTTACAAAAAACTCGAGAATATGGCAAACTTGGGCTGAGCTAACACCGGATTTCGCCAATATTAAATTTACATCCCGAAATTTTGTAATTGCCAATAGCTTGTTGATAAAATTTAAATATCCTCTACAAATTTAATGTTTAATCAATATTTATTTTAAAAAAAGAAATTAAGCAAGGTTTATTTAGATTATGTTTTTTTTTAAATTAAAATTTTTATTGAAAGATAAAAATTAAATTTTATTTTGCAAATGAGAAATATTTGAGTTACTCATTCATACCAAAATAAAATAAATGTTGTTTTTGTAACTTACCTCCTTGTGTAAATTTTTTTTTAAATAAAATTCCTGCCAATTTTTTAAAATTTATTAATTTGGTATGCCTTGTGGTGGTGATACAAACCCACTTATCAGCTTTCCCATTTAGTGGCGGTAGTGGCTCACTTTTATCGCGACTTTTTCCAACATAGTAATGTAAATGTCTGCCTTTTTAACTTCGGGGAGGGGGTGAGGGGTGGCTATATTTTATAATATTATGAGTGTGATCATAATTTCGAAACTCCTCTAATGTCTTAAATGACTAAAAGACTGGGGGGAGGGAAAGTTATCTAGGACTCTCCTATAACATTCTTCTCGCTTTTTGCGGATTGTTCTCGAATCCTAAAAATCTTATCCTTTACAAATTGCTTATTATACAATAAGCTTATTATCGTCATCACTCTTAATTTTTTTTAAAAAAAAGTACATCTATTTCTCTTATTTATTTTGCGTCGAAAGGAACCTTTTCCCCTGGAAATCGAAAGATTGTGTTAAAACAAATCATAAAAGCAACACGAATCCTCCCGAACATGCTATTCCTTACGCGAATGACTTGAATGGCGGGGTACCGTCCATCCAAGTAGATAGCTTTTCTGAGTGCGTGGAGGTGTCGGGCCGACCCGAAACCTCGGACAGTGGCATATCTTCTCGGGAATCGGTATCCATCCACGATACAGATATTATTCTTTCTCTTTCATCCACACAAATACAGGTAAATTTTGCCCTAACAAGAAGACATTTTGTATTAATTTTGATTTTTTTTTAATTGTAAGTATTGTTATTGGAGATCGGGAAAAATATTTTAATGCTAAGCCGAACCGCCTAGAATTCCGCCTGGTTTTAACTAAAGGCGACTACCTTTTTTTTTATCTCTTGTAGGAAGAGACTCACCCAAAATCGCTTGATTCAGTTCCATTGGATAACGTTTACGAACCCGAATACGCTTGTCGCTGCATATGTCACGAGTTATCTAAATATGCCGAATCATTATCAAGCCGACCACAAATTGAACAAAAAATACCCGTAACAGAGCCGGATGTTAAAACCAACTTCGAAACTATTCGGCCCACAGAATCGGATAGTAAAGTAGGAGTTAACGTTACTGGGAGAATTAAAAGTTTCGGCAAAGCGAATTCCTTTCTTGTTACCACCCCTCATTTGATTTTGGAGAATAGGCCTGGGTAAGCAATTATATTATTTTTATATAAAAATATAAAACATTATGTCTAGTGTCTCCTTCTAACCTTTAATTTAGTTAAACTACTAATCTTAGGTAGCTCATATCTTCATAGAAATCTTTAAATGATCACCTATCCTAACCTGTCAAAATATTTAAAAAGAAATGACTGTATCTTTTTTGTACATTTTTTTGGAGTAAATTTCGACAGATTTGTTTGCAAGTGACTAATTTGTAATAAATATAATATTTCATTTTTTTTTGAAAGTTTAATTGCGTGAAAATGAATCATATTTTTGTTGCTGTAAATTTCAAATTGTGGTGGGGAGTGGGGGATGATGAGCACTACGTTACTTGGAGATAAAATTTCTAATGTTTTATGAATTTTTTTTTATCACTATAAATATATATACAGCCATCTTCCGCCCAAAAAGCCTGAGGAAGAGTCTAGACACAGGAACCTTTATAATCAAATGATAGTAGCATCCAAAAGGAAAGGTTGGTTTTATTTCCCTTTAATCGAAAAAAATTTTATGCTATATGAGAACTAGTGATCTGCATCAAGCTTAAAATTTGTTCGGCACTATTCCGAACCAAAAATTTTTATTTGTTCCTAAAAGTTCTACCCGAATTAAAAATTATTTGTCCGCTAGGTAACCTGAAACTATTTTGAAAAAATAGCCTCGCCCTAAGCCTATTTCTGGCACGGACTGGGTGATCTCAAACGAGAACCTTCCGCACTATAAAATTATTGATTTGTCTAATATTTAATATTTTAAATATATGTCCATAAACCCCCAAATCCTGGGACACCTCTCCCTTTTAAGAAATATACTAGTAGTAATAATAGCTATTGTTTGCATTGCGAAATATATTTAGGTAAATTGTTTTAATTATTAACATTTTCTTTTTTTACGGTTTTATTTTTACCTTTTTTTTTTATATTATATTGAATTAATATTACTTTTTTTTTCAGTATATGGCCGGAAAAAAAGAAAGATTTACTGGCCGAGTCGAATAAATTATGCAAAATATATTTACAGGCTAGGTCTAAGATTTGAAATTTTTTATAGCTGATAATCTGGTTATTTATGACATTTCCTTTCATTAAAATTATTAATAGCGCGCTTAAAACAACTAAATTTTTAAATTTTCTAGGAACCAGTACCCAGAATCCATCTCAAAATTTTCAGAATGCCAATATTATTTTTGTTTAAAATGTGCATTTTTTTAAAAAAAAACCTCAAAATTTTAAAAGTTTTGTAAATTTTGAAATTTATTATTACCTAAATTTTATACTTGCCATTTAATTTAATTACTTGCCATTTTGATTAATATAACTGCCCATTTATTATTATAATTTGAAAAATATAATTTAATTTTGCCTTACTCTAAATCAACTTTATATAATTTAAGCTGAAATTTATTGAATTTTAATTGATTTCTCTAACATTAAAAAATTAATAAACTTTCGTAAATTCCAAAAATATGATTTAGGCCATTATTTTATTTTTACATTAAAAATAGCTCATTTCTCTTTTGTCGTTTAAAGTTACGCAAATTTATTCCATTATATTTTTGATATTTAGGTCACAGCCTTATACCGAGTTTGTTTCCAAAAAACCTGGAACCATCGAAAAAAAAATTTAGGAACTTGAACCAAGCCCACTTTCTTTGAATTATTTACAACCGGAAGTCTAGGTTTCAAACTTTACCTACATTTGCTCTTAATGACTTTTATGGATTGTTATGTATTATTTTACTAAATTTGTTTTTTTAGAGGCCAAAGAATTTAAGCTGAAAAAGAAACTACAAATCCTAGCCCTCAAAAGCGAAGAGAAATTAACTCAACTCGTTAAGACATGGAATATCGAAATATTGAACGACTGGGAAAATATGTAATGGCCATTTTTTTTTCTTTTTCAAAGTTTAATTTTCGTCGTATCAGTATTTTTAGAATTGGGGGGATCTTATTTTTTATTTATTTGTTTGAAAAATTTAACAAAGATTTGAAAGTAATTTTTTTAGCCTTCTTCTAAGCTTTTAATTACTAATTTTTTTAGCTTTCTAGGCTTTTAATCACTAATTTTTATTCGATTTTATGGTTATTATCTTAAATCAGGATTTGAAATATGTCAGGAAACACTTCAATTCTTAACTGATGACTTATCAACTTTACGCTCTATGGCCAAATATTATTTTTATTCACATCATTAAAAATCTAAAAAAAATAAATGAAATTACTAAAATCTGAATGTACCGAAAAAATTAAGCTACCTTAAAATAAAATTTCGCAGGAAAAATTCCAAAAAGACGAGAACTCTATGGGAACTCGGTTTGCCACCTTCTATTAGAGGCAAAATTTGGTATTTAGCCCTCGCGGAAAATCAATCGTCCATCATTGATAAAGGTTTTTTTTGTTTAATTTAAAATTTTGACTTTTAAATTAGTCTTAATTCATTTTTTTCCTTCCTTTTATTTTACAAAAAATTGGGAAAAACATTTCTTTCTCGCAACCTATAAAATTTTAAAAGAGAATTTTACCACGATTAAAGGACCAATTATTATGTAAATATGGGAAAAAAATTTTTACCCTTATTTTATATACACATATTTAAATAAAATTCAATCTATCTTGCATTTGTTTTTATTAATTGACCCTTTCGTACTCGACTTTTTTTCCCTCGATGAAATTTTTTTCTTGTAAAGAGATATTTATCAGAGACCTGCAAACCCGGGACAGGAACCGGGTCGTATTTTAATTTTTTCATACCTGGGCAGGGTCGTATATTTTAAAAAAAATCGGTTAGGGTCTGAAAAATATTTCTAAAAAAAAATCCGGGTAGGATCTGCGCAGTTTCAAATGGAGGAATTTAATATAAAGGAGTGTGAGATGGAAGTTTATTTATAAAAGATGGAATTCATTTTTAAAATCGCTAAAATAGAAGACAAAAAGTCATTTTTATTAGCAAATATTGGACTTGAGGTTTATTCAAAATTATTTACGTTTTGTTTGCCAATTAAATATTGTTTAAATATAATTAGTCCAAATATAATTGCTAAAGCTTCACGCTCTATCTGACTATAATTTCGTTCAGCTGCATTTTATGTTCGAGACGCGAATCCAATTGGTTTTTCCTCATTGTTAATTATATTATAACGGATTTTATTCCTTGTTGCGACGCATCCGCAGCTAGAATTATCGGTTTTCCCGTATTATAATGAGTTAAAATTGGTGCTTCTGTTATTATTTTTATTAATTATTATTGTTTCATTATTCGTTCATTTCGATGGCACTTTTTTTCGTAACAGTCGATATAATGGCGCGGCCATCGTTGAACAGTTCTTTATAAATTTTTGATAATAGTTAATTATACCGATAAAAGCTTGTAATTCTTTAACGTTTTTCGGTAACGGTGCGTCTGCATTGACGTTTTTATTTGTTGTTGCAATTTCCTCTTCGCTAATGATATGACCTAAAATTTCAATCTTTTTTTTTAAAAAATTACATTTTTTTTAAATTTAATTTCATACCATTTGTTTCTAACGTCTTTAGCACATTTATCAAATTTTTTTTATGATTCTCAATTGATTCCCCAGTAATTATTATATCGTCCAAATATACCGCTACCCCGGGTAGTCCTTTTAATAAAGAATCCATTGCTTGTTGGAAAATGGCTGGCGCTGAGGCTACCCCTAACGGAAGTCGTTTGAAGCGATACAATCCACTCGGTGTGTTGATCAGCTTTTTTGCCTTTTGAAAATATGCTTCGGATAAATCTAATACTGTATATTTGGATCCATTACCTAGTGTGGTTAATAATTCATTAATTCTGGGTAAAGGATACTTATCAATCAAAATATTAGCATTAACCGTTTGTCGGAAATCGCCACAGATTCGTAAGGATCCATCTTTTTTCAATATCGGCACAATCGGAGAAGCGATATTCGAGTATTTTAGCCTTTCTATAACTCCCATGGATTCCAGTCGTTGCAATTCCGTTTCTAGTTTTTCCTTCCACGCAAATGGAATCGGTCTGCTTTTAAGACATTGAAAGTTGGGGTTGGATTTTACCGATAGCTTTGCTTTAAACTCTTTCAGTAAACCTAACTTCTTAGTAAATAATGATGAAAATTTATGTTCAATTTTATCCTCCCAAACCTCATTAACTGTATTACATTTATTTATTTTTATTAACTTTAATTGGTTTATTAAATTTCTACCTATCAAATTAATACCATTGTTTACAATTATAAATTCATGATATATAATTTTATTCGTATAATTAATGGGTAATATACATTTACCTTGAATCTCGATTAATACATTATTATAAGGTGTTAAAATGGTATCCGTTTTTGTTACTGGTCTTTTTAAACGGTCAACATCTTTTATATTTAAAATGGAGACTGCTGATCCTGTGTCAATTAAAAAGTTAATATAAATTTTTCTCTATCATAATTTCACCTCAAATCTTGCTAGTGATTCCTCTGAAGAATTCCAATCCTCAATTTTTTCTCGCTCCTTTTCTGGAATATCTATCGTTCGAATATATTCTTACTTAACATGCTTCCTTCTGCATACTTTCTGTAAATGTCCTTTTATCCCACAATTATGACTGATGGTATTTAGATTAGGGCACTGCGGTTTTATGTGATTTTCTAATACACAACAATAACAAATAATTTTTGAAACTGGTTTATACTTATTATACTGTTCCCTTGTTACTGTTGATATTTTATTTATCTCCTTTCCTACAGATAATTTTTCATATGAAATCATTTCTGTTGTCTCCATTGAAGTAGCGATTTGTACAGCCTTTTCTTATGTCAAGTCCGGCGTGTTGATTAATTTCATCAATATTTTTTCATTAGTGATTCCCGACACTAATTTATCCCGTAATACTGTATTATACATCTCTTTGAATTCACACGTCTTTGCTTTTATCTTTAATTTATTTTTATATTCTGTAATTTTTTCTCCTCTTGTTCCGTTTTAAAAAAATAATATCTCTCCAGCATAAAATTCGTTTTCTTCGCATAATAATTTTTTAATAGTATAATTATATCATCATATGATATTTCTTTTAATGTCTTTGGCAAACACAACGTAAATAATTTTGAATAAACCTCAAGTCCAATATTTGTTAATAAAAATAACTTTTTGTCTTCTATTTTGGCGATTTTAAAAATGAATTCCATCTTTGATAAATAAATTTCTATCTCACACTCCTTTATATTAATTCCATTTGAAAACTGCGCCATAAAAATTTTTAAAATGTAAAATCCGGACCGGACCGCGCAAATGGTACTTCTGAGTGCTCTGATATTTATTATAGACAACGCAATTAATTATTTCGAGTATTTATATCAAAAGATATTCAATGATTCCTGTCATCGATGGGCAAAATGCAAGTTCATATAAAAAATATATTATCTCGTATGTAATGGCAAATTAAACATAAATAAGTATTACATTTATTGCAAATAACTCTAGAATATGCTTCTACACAATGTTACGGGACAATGGGAAATGACCTACTTGGTTATATCTTATATCCGATATTGGTGCAATATTTACAGCTTTTCTTTTTTTTGCAACTATGCTAAAAGGACTTCCGGTCTTCTTAGTATTATCCTTTTCCGCTAGCATAAACCCTTTTGCTATTTGCGATTTAAATACCAGCAAGGTCATAATTTTAATATTATTTAATGCTTTCATATGGCGTCTATAAAGGAGGCACGTATTCACTACACAAGAATCCAATAGATGGAAGACCATTCACATATAGTATCGTTTTCATTTAATATCTGTCTGATATAACTCCACTAGGATGTCGTGAAGATCTACTCCACCCATTCCCTCATTATAGTTTTTGGTTATTACTGGCACTTCTACATTTATAAAAACCTTAGCCGAAATAGACTATCTTTTAACTTTTGTTGTAGGCTATAAAGTTAGATAGAGTAATAACGGCTTTGTTGTCCTGCCACTTTCAGCTACTCCTTTCCCTTAGCGTTGTTGAGTGAATATTTCATCCTTATAAATACTGAAAAATTTAGTTAACAAATTAACTTTATTTAATTTTATTACTGCTAAATATTTTATAAATTAAATAATGACTCACATTCTTATTAATTTACTACCCAAAAAATAATAGCTTAAAATAAATATTAATTAATTTATAATATACCTGAACACTTTGAGGAAATTTGAACCATTATCAGTAACCATTTTACAAACTTTATTATGAATCTTAAGACTTTGGATATCAAAAATTTTATTTGCAAGTACATCGTATGTCTGGCCTCCTATTATCATTTTGAGGGTTAATACTACAGATCTGCGTTTTAAAGCTTCAGGGTCTAGCCAATGGCCTTTCCCAAATAAGCTCTAAGAACATCAGATCAATTTATAAATATAAATAATTCTTATCTTCTGTTATGTGTTCAATTATCTGCCGTGGATACAGGATGTCTCTGACAACTCTGCTATTAGAGCATCTTTCATCACTTTAAAGTTATCTTTAGTGTCTGGCGACATGAAATTGTTGTACTAGAGGGGATAGTGTTTTAATCATCATGGTAAATGATTGATTATCAACCAAGGACATTGGCTGAACTGTATCAATTATAAAATGACTAACTATATCAGCCAGTTTCTAAGTAATATTGCATACACAATATTATTAGTCAATTTTTGAATTGAATTTGTCTTTTTGGATGTAGTCTCCCCTATACTAAAATTATTAAGATATTTTTCTATCTCTTTAAAACTGTTGGCATGAACATTCTTATAAAATAAATACTATTAGAATTTAAAAAGGAAAATTACCTTTAGGTGTTTTTTGAGATTATAGCTATTAGATTTATTTGAGGATATATTTTTTTTATAAACAAATAAATTTATAGCGACCTTTTGTTTTTACATTAATTTGAAAATATTTTTCAAATTTTTGAAATGAAAAATTTGTATTATTGTTTTCAAAAACATATTCTTATAGGGTTCCTTCTATTTCATTAATATCATCATTGTCTGACTCGCATCGTTTTTAATATTCATTTGTAATGATATTATAAATAATTTACACCTGATTTAGATTTATAATACAAATTGAAAATATAAATTTAAATTTCAAAATTAAATAATAATTCATAAAAATTATAATTAATTGTGAAATTATATATAAATTTTCATATTTATAGTTATATTTATTATATTTTTAAAAAGTAGCGTGCTATTAGCTATCGCTTTCAAACAAGATAGCACGCTACAGTAGCACACTTACTTTAGCAACTCTGCCCCCAATTCAAAACCCATATTTTAAATGAACTTGCATTTATTTTGCCCATTGATGACAATCGGAATTATTTAATATCTTTTGATATAAATACTCGAAATAATTTTTTTTAATCAAAATGTATTATATGGGTCTATAATAAAATATCTCGCTACAAAAAAAAACCATCGAGAATCGGGCTCAAAATGGTATTAATTTCCAAATAACCAATTTTATATATAAAAAACTAAAAATAAATAAATCACGAATAAATATCAAATCTTTTTCACACAAAAAGATTACTTGCATAAATAAAAATATCAACAATTTGATTGACATGTATAACTACTCGAAAAGTAAGAAAGAAAGAAAAATAGAATAAAAATTATTTCAAGACATGTATATATTTCCAACATAAATTATTGTTGTCATCTTTTTAAATTAAAAAAAGACACAATAAATTCTTGCCTATCCCGTTTCGATCCGGCCACCGAACATCAAAAGTGCTACAATAATATAAGCTTAGATGTTAGCCGAACCTTCCCTCATCTCTGTATTTTTCAGGAAGGTGGACCTTACCATCAAACTCTCAAGGACCTCTTAGTGGCTTATAGCGTTTACAATCCCGAGATTGGATATGTTAATAAATTTTTATAAGTCTTTTTTTTAAGAATTGAAAACGGGAGAACAATATAGTATTAATTAAGAATGTTGGAAAGGAGTCAAAATAATATTCCTTTAAAAAGAGGGTTTAAATTTACGAATTATCTGAATGGTAAGATTTTTCTTTTTATCTCTTACATCATTAAATTTTAATTGCTTTTAATATAGAATAATCAGACATGTGTTCTTTCTAATGTATTTAAATTCTGTAAAATCCTTTTTTTAAATTGTTATTAAGATGTTATAAACTAAACAAAATAATTATATTGACATTTTAATTGTAATCTTGATATATAGGTTCAAGGTATGTCATTTATTGGCGCTATTCTACTACTAAATATGGAAGTTGAGAAAGCATTTACTTGTTTTTGTAATATCTTGGATTTAGCCATGCTTCCAAACCTTCTACAAACTCGACCAAAACGATGTATTTATATATTCAACTTTATTTTATGATCCTTTTTATCAGGGATGCGAACCCGACAAAATTTTTGCCCGGGTTCGGTTCGGGGTATAAAAAAAAAGGTGGGTTCGGTTCGGGTTCGGTTTAGGGAAATATTTTTGAACCCGGGTTTGGTTCGGGTTCGGTTCGGGTTCAAGAATTTTTGAGTTGATAAAAAAAATTCTATATTTAAATCATAATAAAAAACTAGGCATAAATTTGATATAAAAAATAAATTTTTTATTTTATTTATAGGCAAATATAGTTAAAAATACAAAGCATATAGTCATGTATCAATTTTAAAAATTTTATTTAGACGTATTAGCATAATATCTTCCAAGAGTTGTTCACTCATCCTCGATCTATGTGGTGAAAGAATGAATTTCAAATGTGAAAAAGATCTTTCAACGCTAACCTATGTTAAATGTATTTATATGTGAAAATATGAAAAATTAACTTGGGTTGCAGGAACAGCAAATAAGATTTTAGATAAAATATATAATTCAGGGTGTTCCAGCTTAGCAGACTCCCAAAAATGCAAAATATTTTCCTTCTTATCTAATCTTTTATAATCGCTAAATCCAGTAATTATTGTTCCAATACTTTTCTCAGCAATCGTTGGCCCTCTTTTAAGTATTTTCTCTTGCCTTTCTTTAAGTTGTATCAATTTCTCTAAATCATCTTCTTGTTCAATAACTTCATCGGAACTAATATCATCAGATAAAATCGGCGTTGTTAAGCTTTTAATTAGTCTCCATAAATTGACAAGATGTTTTTTCGCACAAATCTTATCATCATCACTAAGTAATACCTGTAATATTTAAGGATTTATATTGTTTATATTTAAATATTTCATAAAATAACAATTTTAATATAAATCTAAAATAATTAATTTACTAAGCTTTTAATTAACCTTGTATCTTGGGTCCAGGTATATGGCAGCTAAGAGAATTTCGTTCTTTATAAACCTTTCTTCTCTGTTCTTAAGACAAGAATATAGTAATTGAGCAAAATGGTTTGGATTTTTTTCCAGTTCGATGCAGCATCTTAACCATGCTGCATAAAAATCTGTCAGTGTTAACTGTTCAGATTGGAATTGTTTGGTTGCGATTTTTAGCGGTTTTAAAATCAAATCAGATTGCTCTGTAAAAAAATCTTCGATATTGGGTTTTAGTAAAATCAGCCTTTCTAACATATCATGGGTTGAATGCCATCTGTGGCAATCTAACACAGGCTTAGGGAGTTTCATATTTTTTAATAACTTTTGGTAAGTGGGATGTCTTAATTTTCAATTTAGGCTCCTAGCTTTTGCAATGGTTTCCACAATAGGTGATAATTTTATAGCATCTTGAAGTGCCAGCTGAAGTGTGAGAGCTGCACACCGTACACTATAAATCGGATAGGATAAATAGTTGATAAAAAAGTATTTTGTATATCATCAATATCATATTTATATACATTTACATCCATATTTTCCTCATCTGCTGATTCACTCCTTATATCATAATCAGTTTCAGGTTGCAGGAGCTTTATAGCTCTTAAAAAATTACAACCATTATCAGAAGTAATTGTGTATATTTGTTGAATATTAATTTTAAATTTTAGTAAAGTTTTTAATATATTCTCTTTTATATATTCTCCTGTACATCTCTCTTTCAGCTCTACAATTCCAAGAGTCCTCAAATTTATAATGGACTTTGATATTAATTGAATATTTACACCAAGAATTGACCTATCTAGTCGTTGAACTGCATCAACTTTTAAACTTATTAATTTTCCTTCTACCTCTCTCGATATTTTGTCTCTAATTGATTGGGCTGTTTTATTAATAGTTCTGGATAAATTTTCTTTGTTTATAACTAAATTGAGCCCAGATAGGAGTGGATTTATAATTCTTTGAAATCCCGAATCTTCAATAATTGATAAAGGCCGGCCATTTACAGTAACAAGTTCTAGTATAGAACTCATCAAATCATTAGATGATATATTTATACTTATATGCTTTTTTGGAAAAAAGGTTTCTATATTAATTTTAGGTTTTTTTGCCAATAACAATTCCTGATATTTGGTTTTTTCATTTAAATAATTTAAATATTCATTGTTGTGATTTCTTTCCAGGTGTCTTTCTAAATTTGACAAGTGATTACCAGACATTTTTACTTTGCAATATGAACATATTGATTTTTTTTCTATTGTATTAAGGGTAAAATGCTTATCAAATATGACTTTATCTTTAATCTTAAATCTATAAAAAGAGAACAATTTTTTTAAATAGCAATGATTTCAGAATTAAAAAAGAGATATTTATAAATTTAATTTCATTTATAATATGCACTTCATTAATATCTTGTAAAAATTAAACTGAACCAAAAATAAATGATTAGCATATATAAATTTTAAAATCATTTTAATAAGTTCACAAAAACTGCCCTACATTTAACAATTTTTAAGTTAGATGTTTAGAATTTTTTAAATTAACAATATAATAATTTTTACTTTGATTTGTTAACCATTTTCTTCTAATTAATAATCTTTAAGAATAATAAGATAAAAATTTAAAAATAAATGGCTTAAATTAATTCAATTGTTTAAAATTTTTTAACACTCCAATAGGAATCGAGAATAAATTTAAAAATGGCATAAATGAATTAAGTTGTTTAAAATTTATTAAGACTTCATTTAATTGGAAATTTGAAAATATAATATTTGTATTTACATATATTAATATATGATTTTAAATAATACACTGAACCCGATTGAACCCGGGTTCAAATAAAATTCTTGGGTTCGGTTCGGGGTTTTGAAAATTTTATAAATGGGGTTCAGGTTCGGTTCGGGTTCAGAGTTTTTTTCTAAAAACCCGGGTTCACTTCTCCGGGTTCGGGTTCGGTTCGAATCCCTGCTTTTTATATTAGGATATCTTATAATCAATATACTTTATATAAAACAACTATTAAAAACTGATTTCTTTTTAGGTATATATATATATATAAGTATATATAATTATTTGATATAACTTAGATGAAAAAGTATTTTGATTTATACTCGGAATTTTTGGAAGTTAATTTACCGGAATTGCACGATCATTTTGCGCATCTGAATTTCACGCCAGATTTGTACCTGACAGATTGGTTAGTTTTTTTCCCTTAAAAATTATACAAAAAAAGTTATTTTAATTAAATTTCATGGCTCCCACTCCCATTTAATCTCTTACTTTTATATATTTTATAAAGTTAGGTGTTGCATTTACATCTTTTTTATATGTACTCCTATTTTGATTAAATAATTTCTTTTAACAGATGTATTAATTACGAAAGAGCTGATTTTATTATTATTCAGGGACATGGAACGGAACTTTGAGTAAATTTATGGAACAGAACCGGAACGTATATTCAGGAAACCTTCCCCTAACGGTCCCAGAACGTTCCAGAAATTATATATAAATTTATTATTTATTTCTGTAATTAAAAATAATCCATCTTTATGTTTGTAGGGATTGGCTTGAGTTCGATTAGACTATAATTAAATATGTTTGATAGGTAATTAACTCAGGTATAGTGATTAAACCCTGGTGTTAATAAAATAATCTACTATTTGTTTTATTAATTTAAAATAACGTTACAAGTGAAATAAGTCAAAATCTAAATGTTATCATTATTGATCTATATAAGTCATTTTGTTTTTCTTATTAATAAGAGTAAATTGTATGTTTATATATAATAAAATATCGCCACAGAATAGTAGAAATATAAATATTTTTAATATAAATTGAACATATTATAATAAGAGAATATCGCCTTAGAACAGTAAAAATATAAACATTTTAAATATAAATTGAACATGTTATATCACAACAAAGTTCTTTATATTTTCTAAATTCTTACTTAATGGTACACCCTGAAATTTTTATCTCCGATGAAGATTGGAAAACTGTAGAAAAATGGTGGCCTCATTAAAGCTGTTAAAGGAAGCAAGTTTAATGTTCCAAAATGAGAGAATTTTTCCAGGTGACTATAGGTCAATGGACCTTGTAAAATAAGGCTAAAAATGCTAATGGATTAATTACTTTGTGTTGCCTTATATCTTGATTCTAGGTTTAAATTTCTTTTGAACGAAGGGAAGATAATAGATATAAATTATATTAACGACATGGGAACATATTAAAAATTTTAAGGGTGAATATTTAAATATAAAAGTAATTCGGATAAATCCTCTGAAGGGCAAGAATATGATGGATTATAAATGTTTCTAAGATTTCCAATAAAACAAAAATTCTATCCTGTATGAATTGGCCCAAATCGTATTATTCAACCCATGTCGCTATGTAAGTGTTGTACGTTGTGTTGACGGTCACATTTATAAAAAGAGAAAATGAATATCATTGAATATTAATTAAACGGTATGGCCATCCGTGGTGATACTCTTAAATGGAAAATAAAAATATTTGATATTTTTAAATAAAGTAAAATTTCAATAATTTTATATATGAGGGATTCGTATTCCATTTCTCATGTATTCAATGAATTTTACAAGTGGTTTTCTTAGATAAATTTGTAAGTTAGGATATTACCCATTTAACCTACGTTAAAGTCTAGGTTAATAATACTTTGTGGGTTTTGATCCATAACTAAACCCATCCCACAAAGATCATTTTTAAGCCCTCCCTACCCACTACTATAACTTACACTTAAAACAAGAGATATTTTTTATTATTCATTTTCGCTGCTTATTATCTATATTGGCGATTACAACAAAATCTATTTTTCACTTAATTTCCTGCCCTTTTTGTTATTTTTTCTTCACCATTTTAAATTTGAGTTAAATTTTTATGTTTATATTTTGCAAACTTTTTATATGATAGGATATATACCATCTACAGCAAATCTCTACAATTAGACGTTACATGCAAAATTTGGGACCTCTTTCTGAGGGACGGAGAGACCTTCCTATTCAGAACGGCCCTAGGTTAATGGTTAATGTTATCTTTTTTGTCATTTTTTAAAATTATTATGTTTTGATCTTGCTAAAACCTAATTTTTAAAATAAAATCCAATTAATATATATATTTTAATCATTTTTAAATAAATTAAATATCGTACATCGTAATTGTTTAATAAATAAAGGGCAGGCTAGTAAAATCAGTCGTCAATATCTTCTAATATCTATTCTATCAAATTAAATGAATTAATCTTATTTCAAAAAAAAAATTTTTTAAATTTATTTTAAGGTATATTAAAATTGAACGAAGATATTTTAATAAACATGGATTTCATGCAAGCAGCGGAATTTCTCACAAAGCTTCCAGATAACATGCCTACCGAGGATTTATTTAAAGCCATTTTTAAAATCGCTATATAAATATTTGATTTAATTTCTCTTCAAATACGAAGAATATTATTTCAACTTTCTCCCCCCTTCCCCACCCCTATTTTTAAATGGTAAAAAAGGTAATTTGATTTTAACAATATATTTCTTAAATTCGTCCATTTAAAAATCCACATTAAAACCTTCTTTTTTCAAACGATACAATCAATAATGGGAAACAATTATATTTTGGTCACAATTTTTTTATCGTCGCAATAAAAATAAAACTTTACAAAACAAACAAAAATTGTATTATTTTTTAAATTACGACATAAAAATGCATTTATTGTACATACTAAGTTATTATTTATTTAAATTTCATTTTTCGGTTCCTAACACAAAGAATCCCGCTAAATCAAGTGCTGTTTTAGACTAATCATAATTTTATTGAATATTTGTATTCTTATACGACATTTGAGGACGAATCAATCAAAAATATTTTTGATAAAGTTTTGACATAAAATAGTCAGCTAATTCATTGCTTTATTTTCTTCTGGCTATTTTAAAATCTAAAAATCAAATGTAATTTTAATAAACCCTTCATTTTTTTTATCCCAACCAATACTTACTACTTATTAATAAATAAAAAAAATAACTAACAATAGAAACCATAGTACATTTTTTTTAAAATAACTATATTATTTTATATTTAAATCATTCAATAATATATATCTACTATTTATTTTAAAAAAATATATAGAATATAATTAATTATTATATAAAGATATTATTGTAATAATTTTATAAAAATAATCGAATAGATAAATTTGTGGAGCGAGATATCTCTTGCGGTTTTAAACAATTAGTTCCAACCATTTTTAATTTTGCAAATTTTTCTTACTAAAACAATCTATTTAATCAAAAAGGCATTTTCTTTCCTACGATACTAATATCGAGCGATCTCCTGTTTTTGTTGCTAGAACCCAATTTTCTGGCTGACATTATTTTCTTGAGCTTTTCCATCCTGCTATTTTTAGCTGAGAGTATGGGTCTTTTCTATGTATAAAAATTAAAGATAAAGTTTTTTTTTAAAAAAATATATAATTTTAATAATTCAGAACATATTTCTAATTTGGAGAGGTTAAAACTTGATTGATTTCCATGATATTGATCCGCGATTTTGGTCTAATAACGTAATCTTTCGCGGACGGCTGCGGAATTCTCGCTCGCCCAAATCTGGTGCTTGCGGTGGAAGTGTTTGTTTTAGATTCGGATTCGATAGATTCTTTTTGTTTTGATTTGTTAAAATTTTCGGACGATTCAGCATTTTTACTGGTCTTTTGGTGAAAATGGTTCATCAGGTAATAATCCCTTTCTTCCCTCTCTTCCTTCGAAAGGGCCTTGTAATCGGTCGGAATGTTGAAAATATAACGGGACCATTCGTCTTTTGGGAATAAATAAATTAACCAATTTTAAAACAATTAGCAAATTTTAATCAGATGTTTATAGATTTACGTTCAAATTTCGAATTAATTTTTTATTTTTATTCCTAATTTTTTCTCAAATTCTATGATAAAATAAGTAGTTAAAGCTTTTTTACTCTTAATTTTTACTTATACCATTTTTTTTAATATCGGAATTCAACTTTTTAAATTCGATCCGATAATATGGCGTCTTAACAAAAAAAAAATTTCAGCATTGATATTTAATTTTTAAATATTTATTAAAGTTATGAATAGTCATATCTTTTATAAATGAAGTAAAAAGGTAAATTATTAAAACTGCTCTAAAAAAACTAATTTATTTTTAGATTTGATTTCAAAATATGTATAAAGAACAAAATCGGATTTAATGATATTGAATTTGTAATCAATGCAGCTGATATTAATAAAATATTAGTCTCCAAAAAGTAGTATCGGTACAACCATACCTCATTCTATTCGATTGATGTTTGGGTAAATATAGTAGTTATAAAAAATTTTTAAATATGTAATCAAGTTTGGAGCCTAGAGTTTTAAATAAATTTTACTAATCAGTTTTCCGGCTCTATCTTTGTTTTGTTTGGTTTCTTTGGGGTGCTTAAAAAGGTACATGACGGACTTTCCGATAAAACTAGCTTTTAGGGCGCTCACATCTACAGGTGGTAACTTAAATAACAAAAAATAAATAATCTAATAGATTATGAAAGTTGAGATTTTTTCAGATTATTTTGATATTCGGTGATAATTAATAACAAATGCAAGTAAGAGTAGTTTAAAAAAAAAATTCAATGGTGTGTATGATATACAGATAAAATGGATACTTGTAAAAAAACATATTTAGGCCGTGTTCTGCCTCGTCTCATTCCTAAACAAAAATCTGTTTAACCGTCTATATAGCTTTTTCTAAACAGAATAGGGCATCAGTTCAAAATTTTAATAGACTGGTCTAAACAAAAATAAGTTTCAAAAATAGGACAAACTGGTCACGGCCATAATGTTTAATTTTTGTAGGGGAAAGAAAGATTAATAATGTGATTGGTATTCGTGCATTTCTATACTTTGTCCTAAATTTAGAAAATGAAACACCTGTATTTTATTGACTAAACCTTATCTAAATTTTGTAGAGATTGGAATGTATTCATATCTATATTTAAGATGATTTTTTTTTACTTCAAGCAAGACTTTCAAAATTTCTTCCCGTATTTGTAAATGTGGTAAGCTTTTGTCCGGGAGAGGTTGCAGCCAGTCCTTTTATATGTATAAAATAAATAAGCTTTCTTATATTCTCGCAAAGGTTTGATTTTTCTTATTTAGTTGTTTAATACAACAAGCAATATTTAAAGCTTCATAAAAAAAATAATTTTTTGCATTGGCAATTCAAATTGATTACTAAAATAAACTAGGCTATAAATTGTATTTGTAGTAAGCTTGAAATTTTTAATGAATACCGGACTGAAAGTTGAAGCTATAGTGGGCATGATTAAATCAAATTTATTAAAATCAAGATAAAAATAAAAAATTTTTTAATAAAAATCATGATTATCAAATTTCTTTTTTTTGCTTTCAAAATTATTAGTTTTTGTATCCCTATATTTGATTAATTGCCAAATTTATTTTTATAAATTATTTTATGTTAATTCAAAAAATAGTTTTTTTTTATATAATAAACTAAGGTGATATAAAAATCCTAATTATACTTATTATAAAATTTGATTTAAATCAAAAAAAATTAAATAAACAAAATCTTTTTTCAATTTTATAAAAAAAATCAACCTTAGTTGCAACATTGTATATTTTTAGTTCCGTTTCTTAAAAATTCTAATTATAATTTTTGGGAAACCGTTTCGAGAATATATAAAATTAGATACTTAAATCCCGAATTTGACAGTCTATTATTTAACAGTGTAACACGCTTAAATTTTTAAATATATATTTTAATTTAATATAATTATTAAAAAAAATTTTCAAACTAACTCTGAATATACAACAAGATGTCTCATATAATAAATAAATTAAAATATAAGTATTATAGATCTATAAAAGTAGACTCGGCCATACCCGCCTATATTTTTTTAAAAAAAATCGGTTCGGGTTGAGTCGGTCCTGATAATTTTTTTAAAAAATCCACCAACTGGGTTGGCGTTAAATTTTGAAATAAAATAGATATATTTTAATTTTTTTTTGCAAGATAACAAGGCGGCAATATTTTTTTTTTATATATGTTTGTAGAAAATGATCAAAAACTAGATTATGTTCAGTGTAAAAATGTAAAACGATATTGAAAAAAAAATTAAATAATTTGTACATTTTAATAAATTCGGGTTGGGCCGAAAGGACAAATTATTTTTTTTATGGTCGGGCTTTACGGGATAAATAAAAAGAAAATTCCTTATAGATCGGAGAAGACCAGACTTTTAAAAAAAAATTCGGATCGGGCTAAAAAAATTAAGACTACTAAAAGTGAACTTCACAATAAGAACCCCAAAAAATAAAATAATGTTGGTATTTTTAAATTCTTGCATAAAATATTTAACATTTCATTTTAATTTTGTTTAAAAAAATAAATTGAACTTTTTTAAAAATACCGAAAATGCTGAAAGGATTCCTGCCTCCAAGAAAGCTGCTTGTAAATCAACCCTAAAATCGAGTTATAATATTTATTTTTTTAAAAAATATATATATGAATTTGCCTATGTTTGAGTGAAAAAAATTAAAATGAGAAAAGCCTACAAGCAACTATTCCGCAATTTTATTAGTAAAAATTTTTAGAAAAAAAAACAATGTAAAATAAAATAAGCGGTAAAGAAAAATAATTACGCAAATCATGAGTAGATGGCAATCGAAAAAAAAGAAGTAATTTAAAGAAAGTACAATCATTTAAGAGATTTAAGATATATAGTTAGGAGGGTCTACTGGGAATTAGTTTAAGGATGCAAAAAAGCCCCCGTAAGAATTTTTAAAAAATGTAATATTTTGCATTGCCACCCTAGAGAGATTTTCTTTTGAATATCTTGAGACTTCCATTATTTAACAAATAAAAAAATCCCCCTAGCTCAGTAACCTTTTACCCTACCCACTTTTCGAACCTAACTGATCTATGACAGGGGCGTAACCAGGGTGGGGGGGGGGCACAATCGAAATAAATGATTAGCAAATAAAATTTTGCCCCTACATACCCCGCACCCGCCTCTCCCATAAATGCAGACACCATATCTTATAATGAAGAATAAATTATAAAAGTTAATAACTTTAAATTAACGGCTATAATTCAAAATTCTAAGAAAAAAAGCCTTCTTATAAAAAAAATAAGTGAAAACTAAAAATTATTTTAAAAATAAAATATAGTCAAAGGCCTATAATAAGTTGACCAAAAGACCTCCAATAAGATTATAGACCCCCCCCCCACCCCACCCTCTATAGAAAAATCTTGGTTAAGCCTATGATCCAAAGTTTATTTTAGAAAAGAATTAATCCTAGACAGAGAACCGTATCCTAGCTTATTTGGACGTCAATTCAAATCAATAACCTTCTGAGCCCCAACTGCCATTCCAAAAATGATGATTTTTTTTGCATAAAAAGATAATGAGTGACGTTATTAAATATCTTATTTTTAAGACATTAAAAAAAAAAAAATCTGACGTTATATATTATCTGCGTGTCATTCCCCCATCGTAGAGGGTTTTATAATGTAAGAAACCCCTATCTGCCATTATAAAATAAACAATCTATTTATTGGATTAATAGTGCATTCGAATTATTCACAAATTTTCCCTTATAATCTTTGGTTTGAATTTCAAGAATAAAGAATAATTTATATATATATATACCTCCTCAGATGAGCTGTTATGACGGGTAACAGTCTTAGTTTCTTGAAAGCCGGCTGTTTCCTATTATTAAGCATTCTATCTTCCTATAAAAATTTAATTTTTTTTAAAACTCATTAATGGTCAGACTTTTCTAGCCGATATAAATTCTTGATTTTTTTTTCAATTTAATTTATTTTTGCAGATCTGCAACATTGACCATCATGACTTATAAAAAACAAAATAATATTATATTTTTGGAAAAAATTGAAATACTTGACAGAATTTCAAATTTTAATGATATATTTTACATTTATTCGATACAATATTATCAATACGTAAATATATATATATATCTTCCAAATAAACACCCACCAACTTCCTTTGTTAGCATTAATTGTGAGTTAAATACATAATGGATTTCAGTTTTTTTCATTTAGTAGGGAAAATCGACTAGGAGAACCTCTACTTGTACTCGTTTACTAGGGATGTTTTTAAAAGTATACTTACTCTTCCGCTGAAATGTAAGTTTTTTTTTATTATCAGGATTAATTCGAATCCGTAACCTCCAATTTACCATTGCAACATCAATAAAATTTTTAAAAATAAGCCATCACCATTTTTTTTATCTCATATATTAATTCTATATGTTGACAATATGTTATGGCACAGATCAACGCCACCCCATATGGGTATTATATGAGATTAGGTTGAGAAATTTATATTTTTGAAAAGAGTTTTCAGAGAATCTTACCACGCTAAGAGATTTGCATATCATCCCATCGAACCTTAAATATAATCCACCTTTGCCTTTTCAAATATAGCCCCTTTCCATTTTTGTCATAACTTTAGATGTTTCTAGGGGAGAATTTTCAAATCTATTTTTTCTTAGAATCGATTCTAAAAATCACGGGTGTTTCAAATGCGATAAAAGGTTTTAAGATGTTTAAAAAAAATATCGATGTGAATAGAATGTCTAATCCAAGATTCAAAGCCGTTAGGCTGTTATTATTTACATTGAAATATATAGCGCAAATAAATATCCATCTAAATATTGTAATAATATTTGAAAAATATGATTAAAATAAAATTATTTTAAAAAAAATTCATAATAATTTGCAAATAATTTTATATATTCAACGTGACCTTTATACGAAATAAAAAATTATTTTCAGAATATCAATAAAATTACGAATTTTCTGATTTTTTCTATGATATAAATAAAAAATATAATTTTTGTTTTACTAAGAATATAAACAAAAATCATATTAAAATAATATACAAAAATTTATTAGAAAAATGACAATTTTTTCTACCTTTATATAGTCAACGTTGCATAAATGTTATACTAAAAAACTTATGATTATAAATCGCAGAGTCGGAGAGTAGATAGAATGATGAGCCAAAATTAATTGAAATAAGTTAAAGCATTTATAATAAATAAATTTATGTCAATTGCATTTTAAAAACAAACGCATGCTCTTTCAACAAGGGAGCCTAGAACATATAGTATTTTAACGCTGCGTGCACAATTAGCGTGAATTCGCGGCGGAGAATGCAAAAATAGAGGATATTTTAAATAATTCGCAGCGAATACAAGCTATCTATGAATGAGGTAATAGTTCAAAATTGTCGAACTACAATGGCATCTAGCACACTTAAAAATAAATTTTTTTTTTATATTATAGTACAATCATCGAGTTATAGTATACATATCTGAAATTATTTTAAAAAGGGTAATAAAAATATATGCAAAAATATAATATTCATCACAATACAAAAAAATTTCAAAACTTTTAATTTTATATAAAAAAAAATTAGATATTCAATTTCCTCAAGGAGTATAAACTTACTGCTCATTCACAGCTGATGTACTAATAGCTTATGATTTTTATAAAATACGAGTCACTCATACATACCTCCCAAGCCATTTTCATCTTATCGATCAACGCGTGGGCTAGATCGTCGCTATCGTTAACGAAATCTCCAGTCCCATCCTTGTTCTTGGAAGAAGAAGGTCCTCCACTGTAATAATTGAATCTTTTCCGATTTTCCCTCCATTTGCGAGCTTCGATTTTTTTGAGTTCCATCATACGGTCGAAATCGCTCAAAACGCCCAAATTATTTTCTTCATCATGGCCACCTTGTCCCCCTCTTTTAATAAATCATATAATTGAGTGGGAAGAGAATAAGAAAACCATTATTAAATAATGAAAAAGAATATCGAATAAAAGAATAGAATAAATTGTGTGTGATTGTATTGAATAATTAAGGAAGAATGATGATTTTGTTTTTAACTAAGATCAAAAAAACAAAATGTCAAAAAGTAATCATTTTCATCTTGGTATATATACAAAATTAACATCAATTTAATATAAAATAAAAATCAATGTATATAACGTTTCAAACATCAATTTAATATTAAATAAATATAATATAATATAACGTTTCTAGCCTTAAGTCTTCTACAATAAAAAATCCATTAATAAAATTACTTATATTTAACATTAACTTTAAAAATGTTCAAAAAATAAGATTTTTTTTTAAATCGAAAAATCTTAAACTGTTTCTCGTTTTCATACTTTGCGCGTTGATTCCCTTCTCCTTCCTCTTCGTCATCCGTGAGTACGGGTAAAATGGCGGCATGAGTATCATCTTGATCTGATATATGATTAATAAATTTAAGAGTTTAAATTTAATATTAACAAATAACTTTTATTTAAAAAAAAAATAACTAATCTATTTTTAAAAGAAGACCAGTAGATGGATGATCGTGTTTTCGATGTGTTTTGAGTCGGTCATGCGCGTCGTCAGAATCCTCGGATTCCCTACCAGACCTCTTATGTTTAAGTTTTCTTTTCTTTCCTTCAAAGAGAGATGCTTCTATTTATTTATTTTAGTGTACTTTAAAAATTCATAGAAAAATATAAACAAGTTGATACTTAAAGGATTTTAAAAAATCTTTTGATACAGGGTTATAAACATATTTTATTACCTTTTATCTTGTAAAGGGTCGTTTATTTAAAAAAAATCCCGTTTACTATACTTTAACGTCTCATTTATAGTAAACGCGTTTTGTTCAAGCGGTGCGGTATATAAAGCCGCGTTATTTACAAAATCAAGCCAATAGGTATAATGTATAAATATCAGGGACCCGGAGTGAACCGTAACGAACCGCTAAACCATTATAAATATCTGAACCATAATCGTAACCGAACCGATATAATTATTTTTTGAAGAAGTAAAAATAACCTTTATAAAAAACGGTCAAACCGGTTTAAACCGGTTCAATTTTTATATTTTAGAAATGAAAATAATTTGAATATCCAGAAATATATAAACTTGCTCTTATAGTACTGGCCCGCAACACAAGTTTCTTAGAAAGGGCTTTTTAGGGGCATTTGTGTTATCGTCACAACGAACAAAAAGGAATCCATTTATATTAGAAAATATATTACTTATACGTTCAAATAATATATTTAAAAATGAGTTATTTTGAATCTTATATTTTTTTCATCTTATAATAAAAATAAATTAGAATATGGTGTTGCATCAATAAAGAAAAAATTTCTAACCGTAATGAACCTTAATAATTAGATGAACCGAACCGAACCTTTATGAACCTTTCATAAGATTTCGTAATCAAAACGTAACCATTATAATTTTTACATACTGAACCGTAACCAAACTGAACCGTTATAAATATCGGTTTGGGTCCCTGATAAATATGGAGAGAAACGATGAAAAGGCTATGATAAAATTTGTATAACATGTTGCGATTGTCGTTGTGAAGGATCAACTGTTATTATGATAGCGCTAAATACCGCAAAACATGTTTACTATAAACGAGGCCTAAATGCTGAATATATAGTAAATGCGTTATGTTTAAGTATTGCGTTATTTAACGATATTCAAAATCACAGCTGATTCCTCATAACAATAATTTAATAGATAATGCTAAAATAGAGATAATTATACATAGCATTTCCGATAGAATATCGAATTCGCTATTATTTTTATAATCGCATGGCATATTTTTTATCATCGCATCGCTACATACGTTTTTCAAATTTATAGCGATATCATCATAACGTTAAAGATCTATATTTATTGATTTTGTAATTAACAATGCGTTAAATAAGGCCCCGCTTAACCCTGAATTCACAGTAAGCGCGAATTCGGGCGAAGTGTGCCATAGGATATAAATATAATAATTTTACATTCATTTTTGTATACTTCACCGCGAATTCGCGCTAACTAGGAATTCAGGGTAAGACATATAGCATATTCTTGAAAATAGATAAAATACGAGAGAGAAAAATAGATATTAAAAGACTTTTTTTTTAAAAATAATATAAACCTCCTTCCTGTTCCTCCAACTCTATTTCCGAATCCCGGAATCCTTCAAAGCTTCCTGTTTCATTTTCCGAATCGGATGTTCCAAATATGTCTGCCACGTGTTTATTGGTGACTTGCTCAATGATTTTCATATTATTATTATTGTCTGAAACAACAACTTCTTCTCCTTCTATTATATTAGGTATGTGCATGTCAGCTTCGATATCGTTTGGCGTAACAGGTGAATACGGGTTTAGTGAGCTGGGATTTTCGATATTAGAAGATGCCAAATAATCTAATGGCGAATCTATAGGTTCTCTGTCATTTTGATTTTGCAGGTCGTTTAAAGACTGGCTAGAAGAATGTGAATGGTTATTATCAGGAGACATATGCTCTATTTCATTTTCTTTATCATAGTTTGGATTCGGACAAGTTATTTCATTTGTTGGTGATATCTATAATTAATCATGTATTTGTTTTTAATTTATATAATATATGTCTTATAAAACTAAAAAGCATTATAGCTATAGAGTATCTGTCTAAAATATTTATTTCGAATTTTAACTACTAGGATAATAAGCAGACGTTTTTAATTGAAAATATTTTAATATTATAAAATAAAAACTAATTATTTTTATACAATACAACATATTAAATATATACTTGTATGTTATGATCGCCATATTCTTGTGGGCTTGCTTCAGAATTTTTAGATTCGTCTTTGGATTCGTCAGAATTCGTAGAATTTAACTCATTTTGCGGAGAAGGAATACTGTTATCGCTAAAAAAGTTATTTTATGTATAGACTTTATGATAACTTTATAATATATAAATTGCGCATCTACATATTTTAATCATATCTAGTTGGTAATTCTATCTTTACCATGATTGATCAGGGTTGGGCAATAAATATTTACAAATTTACATAAGATAACGCTCTAGCAATTCTCCCATAATATAAAGTAGAATGCCTGGTTGTATTGGTTAACGGAAAACATGAAATCCTATAGAAAAGGGGAATAAGTTCTTCATTTTCAAACCTTTACGTTGTAGAATTTGGTGATTTCGTTTACTATTTCTTAAATCATGTCAGGCATTGAAAAAAAATAAGATAGTATTGTGGAAGTAGATGAATATAATATTATAAATTTAAAAAACCTTACAATTTGAATCTTTATTTATATTGTTCTATTACACGTTACATTTATTTCTCCTGCTAGTCATAATTTTTATGCATCCACAAATGGAGTCTACATAGTTCCAATTAGTAGAAACTGAAGTAATCCCATATCTTCATGATTTATCATTTAAAAACAAATATACTGCATAAACATTTATTGATAGAAGAAATATTTATTCGTTACAATACAGATTTATCTTCCTCCGCTCCCAAAATTTAAATTACAGGATTTTCACTGGATGTAAACCCCCCTCCTCTCCCTATACATGCCCTCTAAAAAATTCCCGCCGCCTTCGTCGGCGATAATTCTACATTATTAATTTCTCATTTTTAATTATAATGGTACACCCTTCATAAATTTTAAAAAGAATAACTTTAATTATTTTAGCTCTACTACCAATTATCAAAATATTGTGAATATAAAAGTTATTTTTTAGATCACGAATTCAATTAAAAACTCCCTCATTTACAATGAATGCATTTTTATAGTATATATTGTTTGGCATGAATATGAGTTTGCTGAGAATGTCTAACCCTTTTAAATTACATAAAAGGATAGCAGAAAGTTTTATTTGGAAAATAATGTATGATTTATGCAACATATAGAATTGGTCGATGATTATATATCATTTATTATAAATAGGTATATAATAAAAGTATTAATTTTTATAGCAATATATTTTGCTCTGCTTTATTTAAATTTTTAATAGATAACCCCCCATCCCTCCCTCCCCCCTAATAAATTTATCTTACCCTATTTAAAGGGGCCTATTTCCCTTTAAAAAAATTGGATGCATAATGTTCCTACCCCCCCCCCCCCCTCCCGCTCAAGTAGACGCTGTCCGCTCCAGTCGAGTACTAATTGGTTTGAAAATCTAATTAATAGGGTAAGAATAATTCACTGGAAAAAAAATACCCAATAATAATTCTCAGAATAGAATTCTCTGGAATTGATTTTCTCAAAATTTTTAAATATATTATTTGAGGATTTTTATTCCATGGATATATATAAGGAATTTTTTTTTCTATTTTATTAATTTTGTAATTTTTAATATCTTAAAAAACGGGAATTTTTTTTAATTTTTAAATAAAAGGGGGGTAATGGGGGATTGCAGTAATGGGGATGGATTAAAAATGGCAAGTCATGTGATATAGTGTGGGAACGTGATCAGATTATGAAAAGTGGAAAAATGAAATGACAATAAGATTCATATCAGAGGATCAATTCCGAAAAGCTTATGACAAGGTTTAAAATGAAAGAAGGTGTCTGAGAAATTTTTTATGAATCAGGACCCGAGCGATTCCTAGTAAACGTAAGACTAAGTCAGGAACCAAGATTGAGTTCCCATTCTATTCTTCATTAAAATAACGGAAGATCGGGATGAAAAGAAAATTTTGGAAGAAGGAATGGAAAGTTGAACCGACAAAAAGACGAAGGTTGCTGTAATAAAATGCTGAGATGAATATTGAGCAAATGAAGAAGATATTAAGGATATGAACAATGAAATTCATGAAAGAGTGTTTCTAAAGTTAAAAAAATTACGATTTTTTTTAATATAAGAATGTTTTGGATTAATATAGAAACCCCCCTCCCCTTTTCCTTGCTGCTACCACTCCAATAAATATTTCTTAAGGATCTGTGTTTATTTTATGTTATAGAAAGAAATATATTTTAAAAAATATGATACCAGATTAACTATTGTATCTAGTGATGCAATATCGCTCCCTTTGAGTCAATTTAAAAAAAACGGCTATTTTAGCCATAAAAGTATTACTTAATCCTCGAGATTTTGCTAATAGATGTTGTAAATATCTCATTTTTATAGTTCCTACCATATAAAAGTTATGGTATTGATTTAAATAATCAAATTCTTCCATACATATCGACTGCTAAATACTCTATATCCATTTCTTAAAATTTTTTGGAAGAATTTACAAAAATATTTCTTGTATTTTTAATAGCAGATCACAATGTAAATAATTAAATTAAAAGATAAAATTTATTATATTTTAGACATTTTTTATTAATCAAAAACATGTATTTTTAATAAATAATAATTTAAAAAGATTGCGATAATAAATAAAACACCACGAAAAAAAAAATCACTTTTCCAAAATGGAGGTAGGGGCTTCACAGCTTATGCGCAAAAAGATTATCAGGCCAGGTTGGACAAATAGTGACAGTGACGGATCAAAATTTTTAAAAATGTTTCTAAAGCTAACAATTAGGCAAATTTATGCCATTTTCCTTCCTAAAAATTTATTACGGGCTGAGTCTGGACAACTTGTAAAAAATATCTTTTGTGTGCTAGACCGGGTAAAAATAATTAGAGGCCGAGCCGGCCTAAATAAATTTATTTGTCATAATCTTGTAATAAGATATTAAATTTTTATTAATATAAGATAACTTTTTTCAAATTAAAATTAAATTATTCAAGCTATGTTTATTTGTAAAAAAAGGAGTAACTTCTTAAGGATAACATCTTCATAATTGGTAGAATGTACACTTTTGTTTCCAGAATTTTCTGTAAATAAATATAAATATAGAATATGAAAGGAAATAATCGAATATAATATAATTCAACATAGACCAGATCTCTCTAACATGGGGGGAATGATCATGCTCATGATTAAATGGTATCATTAAAAATTTTGAGGTGTGGGGGAGGGGAGGTGGGGTAGCCCAGGGAAGGGTATTCAATATATATAGCTAGTAAAATAGGATCTGGTTATAACTGACAAAGGTGAGGGTGATAAATTTTTCTAATATTAAAAAAATAAATAATATGTATGTCATTATTTTCATGATGTAGAAAATGTGGCAAATAAAAAAAAATTAACTAAAAGATTTGTGATTTTAGCATAGATAAACAGTTGATAACATTGCCTAATATATAATTTTAAATGAGAGAAATAATACATATAGATAACAAATTTTAAATTATTTTACCATCTCCTTCATTTAATTCATCCTGTAATTGCTTGTACTTTTCATGCAACTCTGTTTCATTGAGTGTTTCAATGTTGTGATGATTATATTTAACATTTGTCTCTTGTGTAGAAACAATCTTACTTATATTCATGATGTCTACTCCTTTATAATCAGGTGTATTCATATTTTGGTTATCAATGTAAGATACTGCTTCTTTGCAAATTGTTGTAATATTGTAATAAGATTTATCATTATTCGATTTAGGACTGATGCTAGAAATTGTCTCGGAATTTAATATACTATCATTAAAATTAGGCAATTCATCAGACATTTCATGCAATTCTTACTTCTAAAAAAAATTGGTATCTCGAACAGATGACGGATCGATGATATAAAAAAATATCTTAAATTTTATATATTTACAATTATTCAAATTAATATAAATTACACTATATATGGCAAATTGATATAAAAAATTTTATATAATAATATTTCTGAATTTAACACTAATATTATATTACAAAAGGCCTGACTAAACTAAAATCCAGTTAATCGTAAACATTTAATATCCTAAGAATAACATTATATTACATTAAACTTACCAATTAATAATGCTATTATATTAACTATTGTTATTAAAGTAAATCATTATGATTATAATTTATAATTATATTAAATTCTAAAAATAATTTTAAAGCTAAAAAATTTAAAAGATTTCATGAATGTAAAAAAATGTTTAATTACAATGTTTTCAATACGCAGCTCTTTGTCTTAAATACCATATAAATTTCTCGTAGGAATATGGCTATTGTTTTTACATCGTGTCTATCACCAATATTTCTTTTAATATGGGTATCTTCGTCTTTGATAACATACCATATGCATCATCCCATGAGAGCGCAGCAAATATACGGGCTCCTCCCCCACCAGCTTCCAATAGGCTGGTCCCTACCTACCCCTTGGAAAAGATTTAAATTTTAAACTCAGATATAGTGATTAGGCTACGATGGTAATAAAATACTCTTTGTTACAGAATTAGAAGTATTTTTATTAACACAATAAAATTCCAATTTTGAAATAAATAAGTGTAAATCTAAATGTTATCAAAATAAAATCATCCGATTAACAAAACAAAACTATTAATAATACAAAATAAACAATTTAAATGTAATATTATAAAATTGCGAGCCATATTACAATGTGAGATCAGATTGCTTAATAGAGGGTAATAATGTCTAGAATAACTAATATTTATTTCGTGGATTTTTTTATTTAAATACTTCTTACCGCTAGTGTTTGAATTTTAGAAATGCTTGCTAGATTTAATATTTTGATCTTGGATAAATTTTAATAAATATTTTGCAATTATAATGGATTCTTTAATTGATTATAAACAAACAAATTCTATAATTGACTATAGACAAAGGGATCCCAGAAATGACTATAAGCAAACGGATTCAATAGTTGATTATAATCAATTTCCTAAATCTGAATATGAAAATTTTATATTCAAGAATCCATCGTTAAAAAGGGCTATTCAAATTCTCTTTGATACTAATAATATATGTTTAGAACTTAAGTCAATTTACAGAAGGGATACAATAGAATTAGAAGATAAATGCTATAATACATTAATGGGAAAAAGATCAGTGTTAGATTTTAGGTAAATTTAAATTTTTTCAAAATATATTTTTTTTAGACGCAGAGAACAATTTGATATTGAAAGCCTTGTATATTCTATCCAACAAAAGATTGATTATGTTGCATCAAACCTTATAAAGGCAGAAGATGTAATTATATATCACATGTTGTACATTTAGATGATATATATTATTTTTTAAATTATATATATCAAGTCCAGATTTTATCCCTATTGGCCATCACAATCCTTAAATAATAGTCATTTATTTAATACTCATCTAAAGGAAATTAAATTTTTTTAATAAAATTTAAAATCTTTAGTAAGACTATAAATATTTAATTTATTACTACATGGACTCCTATATACACATCAACTACTTAGAATCAGGCCATTATACTTGAAAACATTAAAGTGCCTTAGAAATATACAACCCCAATATAGTGTTAGTAATGTCAATATATACAATTATATTGCATAACTAAAAAATTTTTTAAAGTTTCTGCATAAAACAAGGCACGAATATTTATTTACAGTCAAAAAAATTAAATTTTTTTATATAAATTTGTGCCAGGCTAGGTAGACAAATAATTTTTATTTTAAGTTGGCAAGACAAATAATTTGTTCGGAATCGAGCTGAATAGGTCAAATTTTTTAGGCCAGGCTTGAAAAATTAGGCCTAATATAGATCACCAGAAGAAATTTCATTTTGTAACCCCCCCCCCCTCCCCCACCCCTGGCTTCCTATGTATCATAATATATATAAAAATACTTAAAAGTATGGTTGGGTACTATATTTTTAGCTATTTAAACCAAATTTTAGCTGACTATAAAATTGAATAAACTAAGTTTATAAATAAAAACTATCACTTTGCCCTTGGGATTTTTCTTAAAAAGATAGCAGCTCAAATTTGAAAGAAACTAGGATATTTTTCACCAGGTGCCTGAAGATTGAGCCGACATTTAGCCATTACCCAATATATATATGTCGAATATTTTTTTATCCAGTAATAATAATGTTATAAGAGTTATTACTTATTGAAATCAAACTTTTTTAAAATATTCAACAAAAATCAGGGATCACCAGAACCCTATGAATCTGTATCATTTTTAAAATGTAAGAGTAAAAGTATAAAAAAATTTTAGAATTTCTTAAAATAATAAACTTTATAAAAAAATTTATTAAAAATAAATAAAAAGATTGTCATTTTCTTTGCATTTTTCAAATTTTCAATTTTTGCCTCTATTTTATAGGTAAAATTTATTATAAATAAAAATTTAATATATTATTATAAATAATAATATAATAAGATGTGCTTATCTTGTTTTTAAATTCAATTTATTTTTAATTAAAATACTAGCAGTTATGTAAATATAAATATAAATTTTGTCAATAGTTAATTTAAATCAGTATATATCATGCCTTTCCTTCCTTGAAATACATATCAGATTTGCTTGGATATCTTAGAGGATATTTTGGAACATAAAATGTTTTTTATAGTAAAACATTTAATAAAATCAAGGACATGCAGAAATACCATTTGCACATCCCTGCTTTATTTTTTTTTTTAAATTTATACATCCAGCCAAGATTTTTTTTTTCAGGCCCAGCCCATATTTTTTTAAAATATATTTTTTAATTTTTATAGCTAATAATGACGATTTAAAATATTTGGTTTTAAAATATAAGGCCTGGCCAGGTATTTTTTTGAAAAATTTTCTGGCCTAGCCCGGATATATTTTAAAAATTAAAACTGCATATCTATTAAAGTATAAATTCATTTTATAATTTTTTGGTAAACAATGTTTTTGGAATATATATGACCTATGAACAAAAAATTTGTATCATTTTATTAATATTCGATTAATGTTACTTTATGCTTTTCAAACACTGAACCAAAATCTTTATTTGTTGAAGGGTTCACACCCCTGTTAAAAATTATTTTAACATAAAAATCTTTATTTATTTTATTAATTAAAAAGTAAAACGATTTCTAACTCAAAATACCCATTGATATTTAAATTATAGCAATTTAAAAAATATTAAGCTGGTCAAAATTGATACCTCACCAAGCATTCATCAGAAATAAAATAAATTTTGCATACATGTTTAACCTAAATTTTTAAAACTACTGAAAAATCCAGACTGATAAGGTTTTTTCTCTAGAATCTCAAATGTTCTCAAGGATTACATTATATAAGATTCAAATGGGGCTAATTGGTCACATCACATTCACTTGTTAAACTTTCATTCTGAATTCACTACATACATTTTTATAAATAATCCTAAATTAATATATGCTTTTTTTATAAAAAATATATATTTAATATTACAAAATAATTCGAAAGTTCTCACTTAACAAAGAGGGCCTAAAGAAGAAATTATTATTGTCACTCCATGATTACAAAAAAATTTTGTCAAATATCAAGTTGATTATCAAAAATGACGCCGATAGCACAGGGATCGATTATTTTGAAGCCTGCGGGTCATATTTCGAAACCTCGTCGCCACCTCCCTTAGGATCTAAGAGTTTTTAATCTATTGATTGATCATTACAAATATCTTTAAAGGATGAATAAGGTGAGGGGAAAGAAAGATTGAACTAAGAAAATCTATTTTAAATTATCATTTTTCTTATTCCCTTCCGGAGTTCACAGAATTCGTCACTTTAGAATGTAAAATTATTGGAACAAATTTTAAAGGAACGGGAAGGGGAGGCTAAAAAATTTAATGTATTCTAAGTTCCTAATTATTTTCATAAATTATAATATTTTAGTCATTCAGTAATCAGTATTCCGTTAATTTTGACCAATCAATATAAATGTGAGCGAATGAGAGCTTGATAAATTATGCCAAAATTGTTCTTATTTATTATTATTAATTCATATTATAAAAATTTTTAGGCCTAAAAAATTCTAAGATCACTCAAAACGATCATCTGGTAAACAATGTACTGAAAAATTGCTTGAAGTACCACATCGAATCCGAGCAAAAATATAAACGCAAGTAAATGACGTTTCGTACCTTTGCCTTGATAAGCAATTTTTAAAGAAACTATTTGTATAATATGAGTAAACGAATCAATATAAATGAATGGTTGAGTATAGGCTTATAAAAACATATGTGAATTTGTTTATAATGCCATCTATCGTATTTAAACAATGCTTGTGTTGAGCTACATGATACTACAAACAAAATAGAGTGAATGAAACAAGGCACGAGTGGAATATAACAGCTGATCGAAATTTTTTAAGATTTTTTTATAATGAGACCAATATTTATTCATTAATATTGATAATTCTTGTATTATCATGATGATTGGAATCGAAGATAAAAATAATATTAATAAAGAAATATTGATCTCATTAAAAGATTTTTATAAGTCGATCAGCTGTTAAGTCGCATTGCATTTTTTATAACCGTTATCTTAACCCGGATTTTTGTAGTTTCTCCCATCCAACATACATTTTATTGGAAGACTAAGTCTGCAATTGAATAAATCAGTTTATTGGAAGAATTAATTTCCTATTCGAATTAGAGGTGGGCTTGGGCCTAACTTTTTATTCACGACCCGTTCGCTCATGCTTACACTAAAATAAATTCACGCCGGGTCGGCCCACCCACTTACGAAATGCAAATTTTCATGGATTTTTTTTAAAAATATAATTTTGCTTTATTTATTTCCATAATTTTACATGAAATATAATCGTCTTAAACATCCTCGCGCGAATAAAGAATTTATTAATCAAGTTACATTTATAAATCAAAATCTTAAATTAAAAGTTTAAAAATGCCAATATTTTATTTTAGTTGCGTTCATTTTTCCTCTAGTAAACGATTATTGGCTATAGAAAATAATCGTCGTTCACTGGAAGCCGAACTGGCTGGGACTGACAACATTTTATTGCTTAAAGGAAAAGATCGAAATTTAATATATTTTTAAAACTTTAATAGTAATAATTTATAAAATTTGTGATCTCGTTTTGAATTTAGGAAAAAAAATACGGTTATAGAATGTAAAGAAGGCTGTCAGATTTTTAAAATTTTCCATGATTCATGCAAAATTTTTGATCACGCCCAGCGATGATTTTTTAGAAAAGTCAGTCGCGCTCAATCACCGTTCCAAATGAAATTTATTCACAGTTACAGCGTGACCCTATGGGTCACGGTGATTTTTACAGCCCGCGCCAAACTCTAATTTAAATTAATGGCGAAAAAAAAAATTAAAATTTTTGTTACAAATAACTTCATGATCGTGCTTTTATATTATTGAATAAACCAACATAACAATTTATACTAAAGTTTGGGCTCTGTGTCCTTAGAAAAAACCGAAATTATGGAAACCGCCAAACGAGAAATAGAACTTTTAAAGACTAAAAATACTAGCGTTTTGGCCGAATTGACTGACGTTACTGAGGCCTTGGCTAGACTGAAAATGCGATACGACGAAAGCAAGAAGGAGTGGGATCGGAAGTATTCACTTAAACGTTTTATTTAAATTGAAATCAGGGTTCGGGGGGATTCCTTATGAAAACTCGGGCCGGGCCTTTTATTCTTATTTATCCTTTTACTATCCATGTTTGATGATTTTTATTTTGAGCTGTAATACTTATTAATCGCACCTTCTTTATTATGATGTAATAATTAACATTTCTATCTTCTTTTTTATGCCTTTCTGCTATAAAGGATAAATGCTTTGAATCAAGAGCTCAATTCTAAATCCAAGACCCACAGGGAAGTCAGCAATCTCTTGGACAACTATTTCCTTAAGCAAAAAAAGCCTATCCCAACCGATTTTGAGACGCCACCCCAATTCTTCCTACCCCGAATGTCTCAGTCCAAAAATGAAAGCTTATTTTACAATATAAGCAGTACGCCAGAGCAAAAAGTAGAACGATTGATTCAACACTTACGATCGACAGAAAATATGAACCAAGATTTGAAGGAAAAAAAAGAAGGATTAAGTCTAGAACTCGGTAGGGCTTCTGGCCTATTGGAATCCATAATTCTCAATTACTATCACCCACCTAGCGCCACCAATGGGCCAAACATAATTTCTAGCGATAATGAAACCTCTTCTTCCCGCGATTTAAACGAATCACTCTGTTCTCAATGCAGTACTGGAGAGGCGAAGAACAAATCTGGAAAATCTCAATTTCCTAAGACTGATTCTAAGTTCGACGATTTCAATCCATCTAGCATATCAACCCCGAATGGTTCTTATATTATTTCCACTGGTAATTGGCTTAAATCACCAAAAAAAATTTCCGATTTTAACCTACCCACAGCTAAGGAAGAGGATCCGGGTGGCAAAGCTGACGATTCCGGTAAATTTTCCCGTTTACTGAAGAAGGCGCCCATGATTGATAAGATAACAGCTCTTTCCAGGATAATGGATGCTTTGATCAATGATGTAAGGAACACCAAACTAGATGCCAAGGTTTAATATTTAAATATATTTATTTTATCTCTCCAAATTATTGATTAGGAAGAAGTGCTCTCTCCAAATTATTGCTTAGGAAGAAGTGCTTTGATGAGGCGTTTGTCTTAGGGTTATGATATTTTAATTCTAAAAATAATCGAAAAATCACGTTATATCATGTTTACGATCGCTTGCATTTTTTTTTTGTTTTTACTTAAGTAAAGGAAATAATTGAAAATATTTACCGAAGACGATAACCTCTGTTACTATTATATTTCATTCATCGAAGATCAGTTTTTAATTTCTTTTTTAAAAAAATATTTTTTTAGGAAAAATTATCCAAATACAAATCAAATTTAGAACGACATTCGAAATCGCAGACGAATTATCGCGAGTTGAGCACGCGATATAAGACTCTCAAATCTTACCTAAACAATATGCAGCAGACTATAATACTGTTAGCGGAAGATTTTAAAAATCTTGGAATCAAATTTAATGTAAGAATGGATATCCTGAACCCCGAAAATATGCCCGAAGAAATTAAGGCCATATTTATTTTGCCTGACCCCGATCCTGATCGGAATTTTGTGGATAACACGAGTTATCGCCTTAGAGAGGTTAATAGAATTATTTATATATCATTATAAATACCTTCTTGGAATCTTTTATATAAATAGTAAATACTGATTTTGAGGCATATAATTAGTACTCACACTTTTAAGTTTCAAGAATCAAATCTAGAGTTGAAAAAAAACATATTTAGTTTTTTTTTTAAATAAAAAATTTATTACCACTGCAATCTCTATGGAAAATACAATCTACCAAAAATTATAATCATATTAAATATAATCTACCAATATTTTACTACAAATTTTTCTTATCACGATCATTTTATAATTGGTCATATTTTGTTAAATTGTGTTATTTTTTTTAAAAAATTTTTACTTTACTTTTTTAAAAAATTTGGCTAAATTTTTATCTTTTTTTTCTTTGAAAAAAAATCATTTATTTTTTATGCTCTTTTCAATGTTATTTGAAGTTACTAATAATTCATTATTTTCAAAATATATTTAATCTATAAGAAGCAAATATATATTTTAAATCTTTTTTTAAAAAATCCTAAATGAAAAATTAAAGCTGGATTCATAGTGGGACCCGATCCGGTACGATTAAACAGCTGATCGATTTTTAAAATCTGGTTATGAGATCAATTTTTTTTTCATTAAAATTAATCATTCTTAAATTATCATCATGAATGGAATTAAGATGAAATAATATCAATAAAAATTGTTTCATGATCAGATTTTAAAATTGATCAGCTGATAAATCGTGTTGGTTAGGATCACACTATGAATCCAGCTTAATAATGAATAGAAGTTACTTATTATATTTTCTGAGACTCTATTATGTTTACTTTCGAGGGTAAAAGAAATATTGCCGTTTATTACATTTTTCCCTCTTCATTGATATTCTTAATATATTGAATATTTTTTTTACGATATACGCTTAAATGTTTATCCAGCACCTTTCCGATTCCGATCTTTCGACCAATAAGAATAGCAAAACATGGGCCCTTAGCGAATCAAAATACCTTTACGGTAGGGAATCTGTAGAAAGGGGTAAAGGAATTACGCAGAATTCAAAGAGCATGCAAGTTTCTCAAAATAGTATAGACGGATCGTATGACATAGTAACTAAGACTAAGACGAGCGGATATCATTCCGACAGTTTTACATACCTTCCGCCACCGCCTCCGCCTTCTATACCTATATTGCCCCCATCTCTTCCACCTACATCCCCCCTCACCCTGAAGCCCAGTAAAAATAGTTTCGAAATAGGTACTAAAAAATACCACGAGGACGGATATGAATTAATTATAACAAACGCCGACCTTGAAGGGTATATTACTAACTCCATTGCTCCCAATAAAACTTCCGCTCATTCCCTTCCAAAATCGTCTGCTATTACTGCGTCTCAATGTTTGGCCGATTTTAGCGCCTCTCAAAAGGCTGCTTTTATCGATCGAAAATTATCACCGCTTTACCAGCCTATGGAAGACCATTATTTTGATAGCGATAAAACTCCGGACGGCTATTACTCAATCGATATAAAAAAATCGGCCGTTAAATTTTTTTCTCCCGTCACGATGTTCTCACCGCCTAACTCTCCAGTCAAGCAGGGTAGCAAGCCCACCGGGGTCCTACTTTCATTATATGAGTAATTATCAAAATAATATTTAATTTCAACATAAATAAAAAAATTAAAATAGGTACGAACACAAATTAAATTAAAGCAATTAATTATAAGTTGGTTAGAATATATGTATAAGATTGAATGTAAAAAGTATTATACTATACGTGAGTAGATTTATAATGACCTGGTTACAAATGTATATATCTTAGAATTGGACAAGATTAGCAGCTAATTTTTATGCATAAATATCGTGGAATATTGATAGAACATTTAAACTCGTTATAAGACAAAGGAGACGTTGTAATCGGCCTCTTCAAAATTGGTTCGAAATCGAATCGGCAAAAAATTGTCCAAACTGGTCCAAAAACATAGTCTAATTTCATTTACTGATGTGGGCCTCTCTTTATAATAATTTTGTTGATAACTTATTTTAAAGTTTTATTAACATCCCGCGATAGTTATGCGTTAAAAATTAATAGCCAATTACAATCATGTACCAATTCGGACATAAAAACATTTTTAAACAAGTCATTTCAATATATAAAAATATCCTTGCGGCCCATAAATATTTTGTATTAAAAAATTTATATTTCATTTATCTGTGCCCATATGAACCCTAAATAGGTAAATAGAACCATAGCTGTAAAATCAATGTGTAATATTTTTTTGTTCAAACTTTTTATTTTTTTTTAAAAAATTTACATATTATAAACTATATTAAATTTAAAAGGATAGCATTATTAAAAGTTTTCGGCTATCATAAGTTGACATGAATCTTTGAATAATTTAAAATTAAACCGGATTTCCTCAAAACATTTTTTTTTGTTTATTTGAAAATGACATTGAGATTGTGAATAGGGATTCTTTGACTTAGAAGTGAAAAGAAATTTGGTCTCATTTCCAAAAGAACGGGAAGCTGTTCTAATAATGGGGTGAATTTATTATTTACAGAAATGTGTGTATATTTTAAGCTTTTTTTCTTCTTTTTCTCAGAAATTTCAAGTCGATCATTATTGCTATGATAGGGGGCAAAAAAATCAATACAGATAAAGTCCCACATGGGATGAGTGCGAATGTTGTTAATGACTGAAGAATTAGGCTGTTGGAGTTATGTTGAAATATTAGCTCTATAGTGTGCTTTCTGAATAATTTTATATATATTATATCTTGATTATTGTTTTTTTAAATTAGATACAGAATTGAATGATACAATTGATAGGAGTAAAACAGTGCAGACCAAGGTCTCCGCATTTTGTGAAAAGAGTTATTTTTAACCATGTTTTCTGACAAAAAATTTTTTAGAAAATATACTCCAATATGGATTTGATTTTTAATTTCTTAATTTTGAAGAATATCTGGAAATAGGAATGATTCCTGATGATTTAAAGAATTTTGGAGATATTTAATAATTTTTTAGCATATAATAGGCCTAATCTTATTGGTAACAGGATATATATTTCGCCTTTGTCCTATTAGTAAATAGGTCTAGGATGAAAGAAGAGTATTTAGTTCTTGAATAAATTTGACAATTTTTATTATTTTATAAGTTTAGCTATGATAATATCGAGGATTTTATTCATTTCGTTTATGTGGCCTGAAAGTTAAGCTACACCCAAATACCAAACGTTCAAGTTAGGTTACATTTTAATATTCTGTATTATATTTATTGCTAAACAAAACAAAAGTCCTAGAGGATCGCCATGCTGGAGTCTCGCGCTGACAAAATTATGCATTTTTTTTGTAACGAAGTATTGGTGGTGTTCCATTTCTAGATTATATGTATATATTGGATTCTGGATACTTTTCAGGAAAACTGTTATTTGTTATGTCAAGCTTGATTAATAAATCATCTCATGGCAGATTCTCTAGAGTGATTCCAGCTGCATGGCTTGCAGTTTCTCACCCCCCTTAAATCTCCTCACCCAATTCCTAATTGGTTGGTTCCTAAAATATCAGATAAGGAATTTTTATTACAAATTATTTAAGAGGTAATCCTTCTGAATAAACCCCCTATAGATGGGCCAAATGCCCCTGATTTGGTTTATTTTTTTTCGCATAATATGACACCCGGCATTTGCTCCTTTGATGGACAGTATTCAGAAAAATTGAATCGAACTGGAGCTCAATTCAATGGTATAGTTTTTTTGGCTTTCATGCGAACTACTCAATTTTCCCTCTTGTTAATTACTGTTATAAAAAATTTGGGCACATTCCTTTTGTTTCTGGAAATCTAAGAGCTTCTATTACACAAAAACCTCGGATTTGGAGTGCTCTAATTGCCATTTGAGGAAAAATGAATAATTAAGTTAACTATATGTTATGACGATTATACTTTTATTTTAATTATTTTACATAAATACAAATATTTGTTAAATATCAGTATATTTTATTTAACTGTAGTTGAGAATTTTCTTTTTGTCTGTAGAAATCCCTGAATATAGCCTCTTCATGATATATTATTTTAAAGTTAACATTTTAAATCTACTTTTTGAATTTTATATTATTCTTTAAAAAAATGCATTTAAAGCCACACGGAGAAACATGGGTGCGATTGTTGCTTGAAATATCCGGAAATTAGAAAAATCTTAAATTTGAGTTATTTTGAGCAACCTAGCGATACCGAATGTATGAATCGTATGATATTAGATCAAAAGAAGGAAAAAAAAGAAAACGAAACTTCTAGATTAAGTTTTTAAAAAAATATATATATAATGAATATTTCATCAATCTAAAAAAAATATATATAAAATCAAAGATTTTGAGATATAAAACGCGTAAATTGAGTTCGATGAGAAAGAATAGAAATGACGAAAAAACAAGAAGATAATAATTGAATAAAATTCGATTGAAAAAAAGAAATAAAAAGATGAACAATAGTATATACGAGAAGATTTCATTCCTATCAAAATATTCTATCTTTTTTTTCTTTTTAGTTTTAAAAATATGTCTAAAAATATTTTTTGCTTGAAAAATAAATATATATCCTATTTTTACAGATGCTACACTTAACGATACCAAGCGAGGAAGCAAAATCAGAAGATACAGCGATATAGTGGAAGATATATTAGCACGACACATCAAAAATAGGCATAAAAGTGGATAAATCGAAGATTTTAATGTTTATATTCTTTAAATTATTTCCAATATTTTTTTTTATATAAACCTAATTTTATTAAAGAATATCTAATCATACTAACATCTATATTATAGTAGCCAACAAAATGCAATATATTTATAATTTATTAAATATAAATACTATTTATGAATTCCAGTCCAAGATGCCCCCTTAATGATTTATTTAAAATTGTGAATAATGATGAACTTTATATATTTTTTATAATGCAATACATTATTTATTTGGTTTTAAATGCGCGTGTGATTATCACTATTTGTGAAAAAAAAAATATTTACGATTTTATTGTGCTTGATTATTGAATAATGAAACCGTCTTCCAGACATTTATAATTTATTTTATTAGAAAAAGTATAGGATTTCCTATCTAAATAAAGTTTAATATATTGATGTTGTGTATTTTTATTTCAAAAAATTAATATAAGTAACATTCAAACGTGTAGCCGGCGCGGGTAATAGGGAGCCCCCAGATCCCGTAGCCAAAAAATTTACATTATTTATTAAATATTTGTCAAGAAACGTAAAGTCTTTCATTTTATTTAGACCATATTAAAGTGTATTTTAGAATTTAAATCTTAGTATGAAAAATTAATACTTATATATCTTACAAGAAATTCCATGGAAGCATTATATATTTTTCATATTAAAATAACAGAATATTTTGGGAAAAATACCAATAAATGAGAGAACATTTTCTACATTTCGGAATATAACACCTATCGTAAAAGTACGGAATCAAATAATCGATTGGATAGATTTGCTCTACTTATAAATAGAGACTTGATCCAGACTACAGCTCAACCTATTGACAAATTGGCGCAATCGCAAAGATGATTAAATTTCCATTTATAATGCTTAATAGTATCATTAATGAATGATCAGTGGCCCTTACACTCTCTGAACGAATGAAGCAGAATACCCACCTGAAAAGTACCCCCCCCCCCCCCCGAAAAAATGATAATTATTTTATGACCCCATAAATTTCAAAAATAGCATCAATTTTTAATATATAATATAAATAAAATGCAAAAAATATATGCTTTATAAATATTATTTTTAAATTAATAATTTAGATAAATTAGGGGAAGAGAAAGCGAAAGATTTTATAATTTCATCAATATTTAATAGTTTAAATAAATTTTTTTCCATTGATAATATGGTTAAATTATTGAGAAATGAATCTTTCATGGTCGAAGTCTTGTTTTAATTAATTTAATTTTACTCATGACTCTTTCGGCAGTACATGAGGTTGTAGGAATGGCTAATAAATATTTATATAAAATTATTAAATTAGGGAAAGCAGAAAAATTTAAAAGTAGACGATAAGGTAAAATAAATGAATAGTTTTTCCAATCTAAATCGTAAGTCCCTGAATTATCATATCAGAAGAAGCTAAATAATGTATTGGTAAAAATATTTTAAATAAATAAATTTACAATTCTCAGAATCTGATAAATCTTTAGATTCTTGAACCTCTAGGTTATCAGTATTCCCCATTTTGGTCATCTTATATATATTTCTAAACTTCTTCGAAAATTTGACTTGAATTTAAATTGTAAAATTCACAGATATCCTCGATATCTTCTTTAATAATTGATTTTTCTGCCACATTATTTGGCGTAAAAAATGATGTTTGATGTAAAAATTTCAGCTAATCATCATTAAATCTTTCGTTAAACTGCAATAATTAAATCGAGTGCAGCATAAAATAACCTATTTTAAAGCTAAAAAAATTCTATAATGGTGAAAGTATGTATACCTTTCCTTTTTGGATTGTAATGTTTGAAGTCTAGAATTTTCAAAATCAAAGTAGATTCCTTCAAAAAATCTTGTGCCTTTGAAAAAACATCCCAAAATTCAGTGTTATTATCTATTAGATTAAAAAATAATTAAAACAATAATTTATATTATACTTCTCAAATTAATCAAGCAATCTTTTGCCAATTGAATTTGATTTATTGCAAATAGTGATCTGCATCGGGCCTAATTTTCCAAGCCCGGCTTGGCCCGAAATTTTTTTTAAAAAAGTTTTACCGGCCCGGCCCGAACCCAAAAGTATTTTTTTAAAAATTTACCTACCCGGCCTGGCCCAAATTTATTTAAATATATAAATTAATTTTTATAATTACTCAAAATAAAAGACATATGTTATATGTCGTTTAGTTTCAATAAATAAAATCAAATATTTTTATTTTACATAAAAAATTCAATATAAAATTGATAAATTTAGATATATTTAAAAAAATTTCCAAGGTCCGATCCGACCCAGACCGAATTTTTTTTAGAAATATTCGGCCCGGCCCGGCCAGAATCCAATTATTTTAAATAGAGTTAGGCCCGAGCCCGACCCGAAGCCCGTTCGGGCCGGGCCGGACTCGGGCAGGGTACGGGCCGGGCCTAACTTTGCAAATCTCTAATTGCAAACCCTATATCTGGTTTGCAATTTTGTACAAGCCAAATTTGTTATCAACAATATTTTATCCAAAACACAAAGTGATAAGATAAAATCAAATGTTTCTATTTTAAAGACTATAACACTAGCCATAGTGGAAGTGGCAGGATCTTCAGAATCTTTTAAATTTGTTAAAGCTCAAGGCATCATAAAGTAGAAAAAAAATTTACAATAGCTTTATATGACGATAGCCATCTAAATAAAAAAAACATTTTAAATCTAAATAAATTAAGGTACTATTACCGAGTGGTATTCTTGATGCGTAGAAATCGTTGCGATTTTTTCAGATCATTACACTGACATTTTTTGAGTACCTCATATCTTTTTACACCATTAAAATAGATATAAATCTCATCTAGTATCCCTAGAACATGAAGTTCTTTAATTGATTGGCATAATTGAACAATGATTAAATTTAATCGATGACAATAACACCAAATAAAAGCTGCCTTTAGCGCCTCTGCTCTAATCAAGGCCTTGATTCTTCCACTCATGTTTGAGGCACCATCATAACTTTTCCAAACTAGAAATTCAAGGGGGAAATATATCGAGCCAGGTTTGGATATTATATTATGCTTAATATCGAGACTTGTGGTATTTCCCGATCAATATATGTCAATCAGACTTTCAACAGGCTTCGACGTCTCACTATTTTCAACATATCTTACTATCAAAGCTATTGCTTCTGATTTCGAAACATCATATGTTTCATCAACTATGACGGAAAACCACCTGTTAAATGTAATCTGGTGGGGGGGGGTCTTATTATTACATTTATAAACCAGAAATCACTTGATCATGATGGATGTAACAAAACAGTAAAAGAATTAAATAATAAAAAAAAATTTTCACTCAAATTTACTGAAGCAGTTGCTTCGAACCCCCCCCCCCCCGTTGTAGGGGCCACTGTGAATGATAGTGTCCTGGCTGGATATATTTTTGATAATTATATCTCTTTAGCCTAGGCTAAACAGTTTTTGAACTAGGACACCCTATTTTGGCTAGTTCTTGAGTGTTTGATGGCATAGCTTACTTTTCGTATTGTTGATTTTTTTAAAGGTTTTCTCATACTTTTTAGGCTTGTTTAGTCGAAGCTACATAGTCGGCTGCTTAGTAATAAGTCGAACCAGAACACACCTATAGAACATTTTAAGGTTCAAAACTGTTATAATTTATATAATTTTTAGATTTATTATTTTATGTCTGTAAAAATATGTACAAGAAAAATACGCCATGTAATTTTTTAAAGAAAAATTCATAATCTCTTTTCTTGTGTATTGAGTGCTACAGTTTACAGAGTGTTTTTTTTGGAAAACCTCTTTGTTCTTGCATACTCCAACATTGTTTTTAACCAAAGGATCTGCTAGGCTTTTAGCGTTTTTTGGAGGGTTCGGGGTTCAAAAATTTGAAATTGTTTTTTTATACATTTTATCACTCAAATCCGGGGTAATATGGGACCGGGGCAGGTTCTAATCTATTTTTGGAAAATCGACCACTATAACATATTTTTGGACATAATTTACTCTGCAAAACTTTTGAAATAAGGTACAAACCCCTATTTTCCTGGTATAGATATAATTATTTTAATTTGAATTAATAAAAAGAAAAAAATATTGTATATAATTATATCAATGATTTCACTCACAAAACTTAAAATAATTAATTTAGGGATATGAAATTGATTGGGATGCGGGATCTCTTAATTTAATTCATCTGGAGAACAATTTTTAACGCTAAATCATCTGTTTTGTCCGTAAATGTATTCCAACATGTATAGAGTACCCGCACTGCAGTTTTGCTTAGGACTGTCGAATTAATTTTTATTTAATATCCGTTTTTATGTAGTTTTTTTCATATTGAAATTTTAAAAAAATACACTAAAATTTATAGTGAAAGTTGTCTGAAATATTTATAGCGCAAGGTTAGACATGTTGAAAATACATTTCAGGTGAAATTAGATTTTCCAAATCTGAAAATCGCTTCAGTTAAATGATATAAAATTGAGAGATTACGAATCCCAATGTATTCCATATACTAATACAAAATATAGTGAGTGTATTATGACATCTGTAACCAGTTATATTTGCAAAATTTGTTATAAGATATGGATTATAGAACTTAAGACCTTGGGTAATTTTTGTTCTGGCCAATACTAAACTAAAATTATTTTCGATAATCATTCATCAATTCTTTTTTTTCTATATAGTAATTTTGAGTGCTAGGAATGAATCTGAGACAAAATAATTTGAGTTTATTTGTATTACGGAAAATTTTTCCCCAAAGCGTTTAATAAAAGGAATCAATAATTTTACAAGCCTTTGTAGGGTAGTTCAATTGGTAACCTTTAGACAATCAAACTTATTTTTAGTATTAGCAACAAAACCTGTCAATTTCTAAGGCTTTTTAAAAGAATTTTGCCAAAATTGTTAATTAGGAGTTTAGATATTTGAATTTCATTTTTTTTATAGGGAGGCTTATTTTAAGTTGAAAAGGTTTGAAATCACACCTTATAAATTTTTGCTATACCGATTTATTCTGCTTCTTCTAGAAAATAGAATAATTCTCCATTTTACATTTTATATGGAAAGTTATATATTTTGATTTCTCACTTCCACCCTTACCCCCTTTCTCAAATTATAATTTATAACTCTAGAAATGCAGTTTATATAAATTAATCATTTTTGAAGTTTGAATT